TCCAATCGAGAGAAGTTGAGGTGATGTAGCGTTCATGGTAAATTCCCCTAAAATACGGCGCAGCAGAAAATACTCGATCGGCGGGCACCACAAAGTACACAACTCCAAGTGAACGCAGGGTGTCTGTACTTGCGGACACCTTGTTTTCCCCGCCTTCTGTGGAATGCAGGATGAGAACTGCCGTGAGCAACGCGGTTGCCGCTTCGGGGGAAAGAAGAGGGGGTCCGTAGACGTTTATCTCCTGCACGAGAATATCCAAAAGTCCAGCGAGAGTCTCCACCTTACTGCAGCTCTCAATCCATGTAGAAACGTGGTAGTTACGCAAACTAGCGGCCTTGCACATAAAGAATTCCTTCATTGTGTCAAGATCGCCGCGTACTCGCTCCCATTTGCTAACGGCAGACTGAGAAAAAAAAGAACATGTCACCTTTTTGGATTCTGCATCAAGTGCATCTTCAAGCGAACCCCACCAAAACTTACGGCACGCGGTTTCCATCGGAACCCGTCGCCCCTTCAGTATATCGTAGAAGTGGCGGAACGAGGGTGGGCAAAAGATCGAGCGCACTGCCACACGCAACACCTTCGGCGGAGCCAATAGATTACCCAATTGGATGATTAATTCGGCACAGTATTCTTGAAAAGCCGCGTAGTACGGGACATGTGAAAAAAGTGTGTAAAGAGTCTGCATGCGGACCCGATGGAGGGCTTCATGGATGCCTTCAAACTCTTGCCGTTGAGCAATGGCGGCAATGGTGCCAACAAGGAGCCACGGGGCAAGCTCCTTTGCGGGAGAGCGGTATAAATACGGTAGCATGGAAGCACCAACGCCTTCAAAGCGCACAAGGGAGTGTGCTACGTGTTTTGGAAGCTGAAAATGAATCCACATCTTTCGGCGCAGCTCCAGTAGCGCTGGAGAGGGCGAATTTTCAGTGCATCTCGTTTGCTCTTTTCTATTACGCTCATCGATAGTCACACGCCGAGAGCGGAGACCTGCTGTGGGGGGTCTGTACAGCAACTCCTTTTCGGCTGGCGTCTCGTCAGCGGTGAGAAGCGCACGCGGGATTCGCCCGAGACGTGACGCGGTGGTGTGAACCCAAAGCTTACCCTTTATGAGTATAGGACGCGGCCTGTTGAAAAACATGGCAAGAACATTTTCCGTAGCAATGGAAGGCGATGGCGCGGCATCCCCAATGGCGACTCGGCGTTCTTCATGCTTCTCATCAAAGACACCAGCCACGTCCTGTCCGATTGATCCTTTTTCCTCACATTCCTCCTCCCCATCCTGTTGCTGTTCAGCCGCGGGTCCATAACGTCGTAAAGAGTCGGCGGCAATACGCTCAATGTGATGTAAAACGTCTTCCCAGCGCCCCTGGAAGAGCAGCTCCGGAAACACCGTGTCAACGCCGGCTGACGTCTCATTGGACGACGTCAGAGTCACTTTTCTCCCTTCTACATGAATTCGGTCCCGTAGCGTGCGATCCAACCCGCAAATCCCAGCAAGCCTGGGGTTTTGCTTCTCAGCCTCACGTGCTGCCACCCACCACTGCTGCAACCGCGCCACGACATCCTGCTCAGCTGCATTTCCCAGCACTAAAGTACCTTGACTGTCATCGTCGTGTGTGAGTAATGGCACTTGCGTCCGCTCCCCAAAGTGCTGAGCATACTGCTGTAAAACATCAGAAATATCCATGGAAGAAATGTGTTGACAATACTGCTGGTGATGAGTCGATTGTTGTTTATGGTTACGGAATTGCATTGCCCATGAAAGCACCGCAAGACTTCGCTCCCAAGATGCATGCGGATTGGACGATCGAAGAAAAGGCAGTGCCATCACTTGGAACGAGCCTCCCTCTTCCATCTTAATTTGTTGCCGCTTTCCAATATGGCCACATAACTCACACAACGTCGTCCACTCTTCTTCCTTTTGCATGAACAATTTATGCTTCACCAGTAAGTCAACATACGCCCGTGCACCACGACGTCGCACAGATGCCTCTAAGCATCTTGCACCTTCAGTGTTGCTGCGACTCGAGGGAATCACTCGCATTGGTGAAAGCAAAAGTGTTTTCGATACTTTAGATTGCCGCACCATAAACTCGGCCTGGGAGCAGCGGAAGCCTGAGTAGAAAACCCATTGCTGCAGCGCGACATGAAGCCTTGCTTGTTGCTTCTCAAAGAAGGTTGGGAAAATCTGTTCCTCCTCCTTCTCTTCATCGAAACTGGCTAAGTGCTGCAAAGTTGGAAAGTGACCAGACCCCGCGTCTCCCTTCTCTCCCGCACAAGGCTCACGAATCCTGTAAGACTGGGCTGGACCTAAAGCTGCCTCTGCCCATCTCCTCGCGGATCGCTCCTGAAACGCCGCGGCGTAGCGTAACGCCTCGTCAAGCATATGATGTTGACCATGCGGTGCATATGTCCCGGGATGGTGCCGCCACAAATTCCACATCCCACGTCTCACTGCCCGCATGTACTTGCGTGGCACGGTAGCCTGACTGCCAACTGCCGGCAACGACCTGCCGTGCGCCATCGTTCTTCTACAGAATATCGGTCAAGAGCCCTTCGCACCACCGCCTATAATTTTATTGCGTGTTTGTTTGCCTGTAAGGCAGGCAATGAGTGTGCACAGAGGGGGGTGGTGATGCCTTGCGCCAGCGCAGCACAATTTACCCCTCCCTCCTTTTCCCCGTCACGCGGACCCTCAAAAATAGTAAGACACGCGGACACAAAAGACATCGCATGCAAAAAAAAAAAAAAAAAAAAAAAGAAAAAAAAAGCTCGATCAAAGGGCGCAAGTAATCAACCCAATCCGCCTCTTCCCCATCAATTGAGAACGGACGGCCGTGCCGCTCCATCTGCGCACATCTCCTTTCACTGTTCCTCAGACTGGATCGACGGGAGTACACACCGCACAGGAGAAAGAAGAAAGGGGTGAGAAAAGAAGAAAAAAAATGCCGCCCGTTCGAAATAAACACGTCAGTTCTCTTTTTTTTTCTTTTCTTTTTTCGTATCAGTTTTTTCTTTTTTTGAATAGGGCTCACACGTCCAGAAATTTATTTATTTATTTATTTTTTTTTTTCTTGCCGCACTTCTACAACTAAAAGAAACAAAATCAAGAATAAATATAAATAATGACACGACGGAGGAACCGGTCAGACAACATCCATCAACTTGCGTAGTTCACGCCTGGAAGCGGCACGGAGGTCGAGGCACGCCACGCATGGTCCAAGTAATTGTACGCGCGCTGAATTGGGAGGCCTTTTACGGCGTCTGTGAAAACAGACCCGGCCTTTGCTGCAATACTCTCAAAGGCAAGGAACTGAAAAAGTTGTTGCTTTGTTGTGTATATTTGCAGGCCTGTGGGCCGCACGTATGAGGCAGGAAGCGGCAGGAAAAACGGAGGCCGATGGTCCACCGTCTCAAGAGCGACGGAGAGCAAAATGCAGGCAATTTCAGTAAGTGGAATAATCTGACGAATGCCCAACACGGGGTTGTTGTCGGAACCGACACCGCTCTCCTTTAACACTGCAGTGGCCAACTGATTAATCACCGACGAGCCTGGCGCGCTGAAGCAGAGATAATTTTTGGTGATGTGCATGTGACCACTCACGCGCTGCCCTCCGTTTATCGCCGTACATGCGTAGTCCGCCAACAGTATCTCCCCCATTGCGCCAAGCTCCGGAAAGTTGCTGAGAAAACGGTCAACATTGAGCTGCCGTTCCACTTGCCGCACTGCGGCACCCGTCGCACTTGACACCTCCGTACTTGCACGCTCTATCTTGAGCGTCACCTGCTGTGCAACATTTCGGAGTTTTGTGGCGGCGTTGGAAAACAATCCAACAACATTGGACGAGTCAACGTTACTGCCTGACGCACCAGCCGTATTCTCCGCATGGCGCTGCTCGCGTTCCCCAATTTCATTTTTTTTCTCTTCCATGAGCTGACGGTATTGCTCGTCTGGTGTGGGCTCAGTGCAGGGTGGCAGGGGTTTCGGCACAGGGCCGCTGTAGCTTTGAGCGAAAAGCTCCACATACTTGCCATTACCAGCCGCCTGGCTCCGGTTGAACTCCATTGTCCGTGTGGGACTTTGTCTTTTTAATTACTATTTTATTTGAGTGTGTGCTCTTGCTGTATGACCTTCCCGTGTGTTTCGCAAAGAGAGAGAGAGAGAGAGAGAGAGGGAGAGAAACAAAACAAAAGAGAAAGATTGACACGACCCTGTCCTCACCCAGAAAGAAATATCCAAACCGCCATTCCTCTTGCGTGTTCCCAGGAAAAAGGGGGGGCACATGAATAGAAATAACGCAGAAGAGGCATGCCAACAAACAGAAAATATGCATTTGAGGCTTTGCCTTTCCTATTCCTACAGAGTGAAGGCAGGAAATAAAGGAACATGACACTTTTCTTCAGTGTACCCAGTATCCTCCACACCTCATAAAATGATGTATTCAACACACACACAACACACACAAAAGAAAAAGTAAAGAAACAAATGCGCTCATAACTCAAAATCTAAGAAAAAACGAACACATTGTGAACTCACGAATTGTTACTCTGTAGGATCACGCAACCACCGGGGCCCCGCTTCCCGCGAAAGGGCGGTATTTTAGAAGGGGGGAGGAGAAGGAGGGGAAACGGTGCCCCGGTGGGAAGACAGAAAAGAAAATTAACCCCGCTGCCTTAAACCGCGGTAACTTTTTAACATCCACAACAAATAACAATAACAGTTAATGGATAGAGAAAACACATAACTTGAACAATACGCCACGCCATCCAATTAAACCCCCCCACCCCCCCACCCCCCCACCCCCCGCCGGATCGTACATTTCCCTTCAAATGCGTTTAAAATAAACACAATTCACATAATTTCTCAATTGCACTGAGAGGGGCGGACCACACAAACACACAAAAAAAAAAAATAATAATAAAAAATAAATAAAAATAAAAATGGCACAAAATTAAAATGGAGGTAAAATAATCGCCTCACCATAAAAAGAGATGAAATGACATTCGGTGACTTAACAAACAGATTCGTTTCTCTTTTCATTGAAGTTTAAAAATTCCCCTCGTTTACCCCCCCTTTTTTTTCTTCCTTTTTTCCCCTTCTGACGCCAATGCACAAGGAACACTCCCAAATCTCACTCATCAGCAGCAGCGGCTGCAGAAGAAATGTACGAGAGGAGAAAAAAAAAAAAAAAAAATAGGTGGGGCGGGGGGGAAGAGCGTTGATGCATTCGTTTTTCTGACCCGTGGAAGAGGAAAAAAATTGGCGGAGATCCCCCAGTCAAAACTAAAGAAATCGGCTATTCAAATAGGCACCTGCCATTTGTTCGCCATAAAACAAAAAACAAAAAATAATAATAATAAAAAAAGAATATATTACATCACTTTAATGCGTGTCACTTTGCATCATGACGCGCTCGTGAAAACAAAAACAAATAAAAAGAAAATAATAATAATAATAATAATAATAGTAATAATCATATATATATATATATATATATCGGAAAAGAAACAATACTTGTAGAAGAAAACACAAAGAAAAGGTCAAGTTCAGCCACACGACTTTTTTTCTTTTTCTTTTTGCTAAAGTTTGTACTCCCCTACAAATGAGACAAATGAGGCCCGGCGTTTGATGGGCGGGCGGCGTTCATCGTCATTCATTTGTGATGCAGCGGCATTGTTTTCGTCCAGATCTTCCGTTTGCCACAGGAGCGGGTCCACGTAATCTGCGGGGATGGATTCCGGGGGCAAATCCACGACTTGATCGCCTTGCAGTTCCGGCCGAAGTGGCCTTGAGACCGGCCTATTCATCGCAATTCCAACGGAGACGGGTGGCATCACGTGGGAGGACGCATCGTTGAATGTTCGCGGCAACAAAACGTTTGGGTGCGGGGGCCCTGGCCACTTTGCGGCATCTGCTGGTGGGGGGCTTTCGCCGTCATTCACGTTTGACTGAGTCTGCAGACCATTTCTGTTCCCGTTCCTTGATAATGAGCTGCGCCTGGGCATGCGCGGGGCGTTCTGCATGCGCGCCTGTTGCTTGACTTCTTTTGCTAATGCAATCCGTCTCTTTATGAAGTTAATAATTAAAATAACGGAGACCGTAATGAGAATCAAGACGACCGCGCCGACTGTACCCCCAACGATGAGCCACATCCTGGTTTTATCATAGTCGGACATTTGATCTTCCTCACTTTTATCGGCGCTCATCATTATATATATATATATATATATATATATATATATTTTCACAGATGCGTCGATCTAATTTTTCCTCCCACCCACCCACCCCCCCTCAGCCCCCTCTAAACCTTTCCTGGCAATTCACCTTTGAAAGGCTCCTTTTCCACTTCTTCCATTAAGCGTTCAGAGTTCAAAGAAGCGGGAAACAGAAACAACAAAAGACAAAAAACATTCTTTTTTTTTTCTTTTCTTTTCTTTTTTCTTTCTTGTCTACATGACGGGAGAAGATAAAAGATATCAATAACAGTTCACGCAATACACTCGTAGAAACACACGCGTACAAACAGGGACACACACACAAAAAGAGCCATGTTTTCTTTCTTCGAATTTTATCAGTTTCTCTTCTTGTCCCTCTCTTCTCTAAAGTCTACACGCTTGACAGGGAATGATATCGCTCTATGTATTCTAAAAGGTTTTCGTGGCCACCGCCTACCTTCACAGAAAGACGTCCACTGTCAATTGAAAGATGCACAACGCGTGCAGTGTCGCCCTTCCCCTTTTTGGAGGTAGCGCCTCGCAGTTCAAAAAGATACACACACGGTGCTTGACGCGTTAATTTCAGGCCAATTCCACGACGACGTGCATCCCGCACAATCTCCTGCACCATCGCATGGATAACTTCACCCAACTGCTCTTTTGTGGGTGGTGGCGCCATCGCGCGGCGAAGTCGTGTGATCATTCCCAAACTGTACGCCGTCTCACGGTTATACGACGCATTGGCTTGCCAGATCTCCTCCGCAGCGGGAGATTTCAAAAGGGACTGCGGCAACACCAACACCTCCTCCTTTTTATCGTTAGGCAACTGTTTCTGCGGGACGAATGGTAAATTGGACAATGACGATGACGCACGTTTCTTTGCAGCATATTGCTGTTTCGTCTTCTGATTCCGCTCTTCTTGTTGTTGTTTTTGTGGGGATGATGGGGGTTCCTGTATTTGTTGCGAGCCGCTGGAGCCCCTTTCCCTGGAACTCTCGCTTGGGGCGAGTAGTTGTCGCCGCTGAAGCGAGACGGCCTGTCTCTTCCTGTGCTGTGCGTCGCTGTAACTTCCGCCAGCATCAGTGTTCGCAGTCAATGGCGTAAATGGTGTCCGCGACGCTGACGGCCTCGATGTAACGCTGTCGGTGCCGCGCTCCATTGAGGGCAAGCTGCCGCTTCTCACCGATCTCTGATCTTTCTTCTTTCCTACCTGACGCCTCGGCTGCAGGTCATACGCCTGCGCTTTATCCATTTGATTATGCAGGGACAATAACTCTCTTTTTAGCTCCCGGTTTTCATTCTGAAGCTGCTGCGTAACAAGCTGTGCCGAGCTAGACTGACGCAACTCATTCAGCTCTTGCTGAAGGGTGGCAGAGCGTGCCCGCTCCTCCTTGATGACCTGTGAGGCTTTATGCAGAAGTTCAACAAGGTGCCTTTCCTGCGCAACCTCAGCGTTCGCACTGCTGCCACCTCCGGAAGGTATGGGGCATAACGGCGGGACTCCAAAGTCATCGGGCTGCTTCTGGGAACTATCGCCGCTATTGGCATCGCATTTGGCCGCGGTATTCAATTGCGGCGAGATCACTGTCAAGTGTTGGATGCCTTCTTCATTTTCCACTTCAGTGGGGAAAGAGAGAGCCGATATTTCCCATTCGGCATCCGCCATCCTTAAAAATGCTGCCCAACCCACTTCAGCTCCCTCTCACTGCGTGTGTATATATATATATATGGGTGAGTGCCGGTCCTCAATACCCTTCCCAAACATCCTTGCAAAATGCACCGGAATGAAGGCACAAGGGGTAAAAAAGCAGCGGAGGCAGCAGATGTAACACAAGACCGCATGTGATGTAGCAACGGAGCAAAAACCAGAAATTAAGGGGAGCAAAGAAACAAACAAACAAACAAAAAACAAAAAGTACAGTGATCACACCGGACGACCTCTCCCAGGGGGAAATCCCTCGCCTTGTGCGGGTCCCTTCGTATTCTTCGCCGCGCGCGTCACTTTCTTGTTGTACTCTTTTCTTCCTGCGCCTGCCTTCACCTCCTCACGGCGCATATGCGCCTGAATGCGCCAGCGATCCTCGGTTGAAACAAGCAGTCGGCCAATGACGATTGAGGGACATGTCGCACCATTCGCGCTGGAGCCCTTCCCCCCAGCGTTTTCCTTCTCGGAGGCAGTTAAAAGACGCCATGTTGTGTCAGCAAGGCGGCTATACGCAGATGTCTCGCTAGCAGGGATGTTCGGGTACTCGTTGAAGTACTTGACAAACTGCGTGTAGTCCGGCATTCCGGCTGCAGATGATTAAAACTTCCCGCACACAACACCTCTTCCTCTTCTTTTCTTGCCCTTCGTATTTTCTTCAATGCGAGTGGAAAGGACAAACACACACACACACACACACACACACACACACCAAAACAAATGAAAAAAAAAAAAAAGGAAGAATTGCATCCGGTTAAAAACAAAAACAAAAAACAACACACGGCAATAATGTTAATAATAGTAATAATAAAAGACAGCAACCGAGGACAGAGTAAAGAGCAGCATTATGCATTCGGTGAGGTTAATTTACTTACGCGCTTGGAAAATAGCTCTTCACGCGACTCTCCATCTCTTCTGGCGTCGCGTCGTCCTGGGACTCCACAATACACGAGGCTACCGCAACTGTTCGCCGGGCCGCTGCTGCTGCGTCAACGTCGCTTGTCTGCCCCCGCACCCACACAAACCCATTCACCCCGACGCACACTTCAAATGGCACCCGTTCCCCTAAGAGCGACAGAAGGCGTGATGCGCCGTCGCTCGCAAGAAGACTTCGCGCGTAAGAAATCGGGACGCGCACAACAGTGCCATCTGTAAGTGGTCCAAACACCGCCTCTGCGGACGTCCAGTCCTTTGCGACAAGACCAACATCGCCAGCCATGCAACTCAGCTCTACTTCATCTCCTGCACTTTCCACACAGGCGTCACCGCTAGCAGGCTGCGCACCACTTGGCTTCGGCTTCACAAATGCATAGACGACGTCTCCTTCCTGCAGCCGTGGCCGGCTCGACTTGGTGGCCCCGTCAAAGCCCAGCACATCAAGCACCGCCAGCATCGCTGCACCAGTGTAGCAATAGTAGTAACTACTCGTCTTCCTTACCACAATCGCCACCACGGGATCCCTCGGACTGTACATGTATCGGCGAGCTGCGGGCGCGTCAAGCGTGTACCGCCGTACGTGGTTTGATTCCACGCTGCACTCTACCGGCCCACAGAGCTCTGCAACCACAACGGTGTTTCCTCCTCCAGCAGAGCCGCTAGTTGTGTTGCCATGTGGTGGAGCATGCGGCAAGGGGCGGAGACCGTTCCCAAGCGTTACGACCGCTGTTGGATCCAACAACAGTACGGGATCACCCGGCAGACAAACGTGAGAGCGCAAAGGTGCGAGCTCTCGCACGCCTTTTATCATGGCTGTCGTCGGCGACACCTGATCCATGCGTCTCTGTTGAATGTACGCTTTTTCTTACTACAGAAACAAAGTAAAACAGAAACACACAAAAACACAGCCTGATTGTAGGGCAGTACGAAGAATAAAAATTGTGCTTGGGCACAGAAATGTCCATCTCATAACGCCCGTGTGAAAAAGGGGAAAAAGAAAGATAGAGTAAACAACAAGAACGCAAGCAAAAAAAAAAAAAAAAAGAAAAAAAAAAAGGGAAAAACAGCTGGGAAGTATTAAAAATAAGGGACAGGCCTAATTTTCAATTTCACGGCGAAGGTCGTGCAATTCTGCCTTTAATAACGCCATCTTCTCCCTCCATGCAATCAAATTGGACGACACGCCGTTTGGAAGCCAAGTTTGCGGCGTCTGACACTGCGACACGGGTGAGGCTGTGAAAGATGTTTCTCCTTTGATATGACTGCGACAAGAATGCTGCTGCCACTGCCTATTCTGAATCCGCGGTGTGTCAACGACGCCACAGGGAGTTCCTGCTGCCTGAGGTCGCAGCTCTCGCACCTGCTCGCGCACACTCTGAAGCGTGAGTGCCACCGGGTTCACCGCGGGAGGCGGGAGAATGCGTTGATAGAGAGTTTGCGCCCCGCTGCGGCTTGCCACCGGTTCCTCAGCTGCCATCTGCTCGCGCAGCGCCGCCAGCTCCTCCTGAAGTTCCTGCTGCGTCCGCTGCGTTACCTCCGCATACGCGACAAATTCTTCTAGCAGCTGACGGAGGCTCTCGCTAGGCTCCTCGTGTAGTACCCGCTCATCTCCATCCCCATCGCGAAGCTCCGCGAGCACGTCCGCAAGCGAGCAAAGCTGTTGACGTACTTTCTGCAACCGCCGCCCCTCCGCCGCAAGTTCTTCCTGCGCCTGCAAAATTTCGTGCCGCGCATTAAGCATTTGGTGCTCGTGCTCCTCCCGCTGCCGCACCGATTCCTCCTGCATCTCCCGCCTCAGCGTCTCAAGTGCCTTCTGCTCCCGCTCAACTTCTCTCCGCAGTGCTTCAGCGTCCGCACGAGCGACGGAGACGGCTTTCCCCACCCGTTGTTCTTCTTTTTGGAGTCTTTCAACCTCTTGCTCGAGCGCTTGTTTTTGCCTCGTGAGCTCCTGCACCTCCGCAACGACCCTTTCCCTTTCAATTTCCCACTTTTTCTCGTGTTCCTCATCCAATACCACAGCAGATGATGTTGATTTTGCTGCGGAAAGAAACAGCAACGATGTCACCGCGGCGGCGTGAGAGTAAAAAAGCTTGGTGAGACCCTCGACGTACTCCGCGTTCAGTGAAGCCCGGCGTGATGGTTCCTCCACCTGTGCCACTGTGTTACGCGCGCTTTCCAGAAGCAGCTGATTGGTCACGTATACCCAACCCTGCAGCTCAGCTGCAGCTGCTCGCGCACATGCAGAAGCATCCGGCATAGACAACGTACTGAGCCTCGTTTCTGCGGTAAGACACACACACACAAAAAAAACAAAAAAAAGAAAGAGCAAACATTAAGTGAAACCAAACGGAGTAAAACCACGACAAGAGCGAAGTTGCAGCAAGAGATGAACTCACACATAGGGAGAGAGAGAGAAAGAGAAAGAGAGAGACAAAGATACACAGCAGAGGGACAAAGGACTGTGCCTTGTGGAGGTGCTTGTGACCTTTCATTGTGTTGTTTATGAGGGTTCACACGCAAGAGAAGTCAGCAGCAGTAGCAGCAAAAAAAAAAAAAAAAGAAGAAACAAAACAGAAATAAAAGTAAAAAATACTGCCTGCAAGGTCGTTGCCCTGCCTTTTGACACCTCAACGAAGACGAGAAAGAGTTCGACGGTGAGTTGCTTTTCTTTGAGGTTTTGCCACAGTCGAAGGGGTACACGTTTCTTCAGCCCTGGCTTCCTCTGAAGCGAGGAGCAGCGCCGTCTCTTTGGGTGTGCGTGGCTGCACCGCCTCCTTCTCATATTCCAGAGAGTGCAACACAAAAGTCACCCCTTCAATCACCACCTGCCGAACGCTCTCAAGAAAAAGGGGGCGTGCGTATTCCACCACATGACGCAGCTCGCTCCGCAGCATAATACGCAATGTGTATTCCGGAGAACGGTGTGTATAGGCAAAGAAGACAAGTATTATCCCAGATATAAGGATCACTGTAGCAAAAAAGAAATTGTTCCCCAGCCCACTCCGTGGATATGGGAGAAACAACGGACGGAGCGCATATGCCAATGCCACAACACCAATGCACGGTCGCCTTGCAGCGGCTGTACGAGTAGGGATGGTCAGCAACAGGAGTATTACCAAAATGACAGCGGCCCGTATCATCTCACTAAGACCTATCGTTTTTTCCAGTATTCCCTGCTGGAAGACCTCAATTCTTTCCAGTACACGTACCATAGTGTTTGCATGGTCCTCGGTTCGCTTCTGAAACGCCGTCGCCTCCCGTGCAACTTCCCTCACAGCCGCGGCAGCTTGAGCAGTGCTCTCATACAGCGCCATATGCAGTTCATTCAGACTCAGGCGCGCATCCGTCAAAGAGCGCGCCATGCCTTCTGTGCTGCTTCTCAAAGACTCAAACGCCAGGCTTTGACCACTGCGAAGATCCCGCAATTGGTCATTCAGTTTACTCGTTTCGACAAGGTTAGAGGCCTGTTGTTCCACCGTCTTCCTCACTGATGAATGTAGCTCACTGCTGGAACTCCGTAAAGCCTGTAGAGTCTCCGAGGCTGCCAGTGCACTAGCATAAAGAGCCTGCACAGCCATCTCCGTGCGTTCCTGAAATGCCTCCTCCTGAATGTACAGGCAAAGCACATCTGCGTGCAACCGGTATTGGACGTACATGAGGTATTGCGCATCATCCAGGTGATCGACACACTTCCTCACGTCTGTATCGAATGCGCAATAAGACCATGCACGGCGTCCTCCGTCGGCCTCACCATCGCACGAGGCCATCGTCAGCGCCAAACGACTACGTGCCCCGTCGTCTGAGTGAAGCGACGAGCAGCCCTCTTTCAGTGCATCCACAGCTCTCTTCCAACAGGAACTTATGCGGCCTTTTTTTTCCAATTCATTTAGCAAGTGCGCTGCTTGGCGGTCTTGACCGGCATCCTTTTTTTGCCGCAAAGTAAACAAATCTGGGATTTGCACGCGATCGTCCGAATGTCCTGACACAGACGTGGCAGCCGCGCCACCCTCCTTTACGGGGTCAGAACGGGACGATGACTTTACCCACAGCGACCATGCCCCCTTGCAGGTTGGCAAGAACAGTAGCCAAAGGCAGAGGACAACGCGAACGAAAACTAGATCCATTGAGGACGCAGACAGGGCCCCTTATGCGTAAAGAAAAGCCTTTATTCACTTAAACCCCTTGCCAATTCTGGGGTTGGTGGCGGTGTGCCCAGTGGAGAGGGAGGCAGTGCAGCAAAAAAAAAAGAAAAAAAAATGATTAGGGGAATCAGACGTGAAATAAAGGAATAAGACGACCTGCACGTCACCCCACTTCCGCACCCCTCAATCAAGCCAAAATGTCTTCACAAGAAATCGATAAGGCAACAACAGTGTCTCATTGGGATAATGATACAGGTACTTCCCTGGGGATGACGTCACCCGGAGTGGTGCGTTGCAGCCGAGGCGGCGCATTTCTTTGGACCGCAGCAATACGCCCACTGAGAAAAGACGCCGCCGCCGTCCTAAGACCCTCCTCTCGTCGATGGTGCTGCAAAGACAACAAATTTGCATCCGCCCTTGAGAATTTGTGGGTGTCAAGCGTTCCGCTGTTTCTGGCTCCTGACGCCAAACCCATCCGTTTCCTTGACACCTCATCACGCATACGCCGATCGCGACTGCGGAGGGCCGCCTCATCCGGCAGATTCCGAAGGGGAACATCACCGCCGTAGCGCGCAGCCAGTGAACGCCCGGCGTCGTCCATCACGAGGTGCCACGTGCGTGGTCGCTCCGCTGCAAATCGACTCGGCAATATAAACTCGCAGTACTGGGGCTGTGCGGTGGGCATGCCAATGGGATGCACAACACGTCACCTTCTTCTCGTCAAAGAAGAAAAAAGGCCAAAAATGCTCTAAAAGAAAAAAGAAAAAAAAAAAAAAAAAACGAAAAACGTTCGGTGTTCCTTCCAGAAATGTCTCTGAATTTTGTTGAAAAACAACAACAACAACCAACAACAAAAAACTGCAGCTCTCAAAGAAGAATTACCCTCAAAATAAAACAAAATGCGGCCACCTCACATGATTCTCACAACGCCTCCGAAGAAGGATTCCCTTCAAGAAAAAGTCTCCTCAAAAGCACCGCGTGCGGTGGCTCCATTCTTTCCAAGCAGCCATGGTTCTGCAACAATGCCCAGAGAGTGAGAGCATCTTCTCCCTGGGTGGACTCGTCCTGGGCATATTCGCGAGAGTGCACCTCGTCCATCAATTCCTTCATTTGATCAATCAACAACAGCGACACAGCAAAGGGAATCTTTCCATCTCTCTTCTTCGCATGGCTCAGCAGCACACGACTTGTAGCCTGTAGGGAAGTGTCATGCATGTCCTCTAGGCAGTATTCTTCAGAAGCCCTCGCGTAAGCACCCTTAAATGACATTTGCAGACACGCCAATTGCATCGCATGGTACCACAACGTCGGAGTAAATTTCGGCTCAACGGTCTGCGCGCATTGAATTGCTAGTTCCCAGAATGATAATTTCTTTGGCTGCTTTGCTTTTTTCTTTGGAACACAAGTGGCCTCGGCAGCGTCAGAGGCGCAAGCGGAAAAGAGAGCTGCTAACATACGTGGGGGCAATGTGTTAGCTGTGAAGCGCCGGTAGTGATGAATGATGCGCAGCGCAAGCGCCCACCGCGGCAACCTTTCTTTCATGTTAGCCTCAGATGAATACCGTTTCCACAATGAGGCATCTGGATGGTGGTGGTAGTAGAATCGCCCACCGCGGGCGTCCGTATCGAGTTGCGTATGAAGACGCTTAAGTGTTTTAAAAGCCAGCTTGAACACGGCGCGAATTGCCCTCACGGAGCGCGGCTGACGCAAAAGCTCCTCACCCTGCGGTATCGCCTCCACTGAAAAGTGAGTCAATTGAATACCAGCAAGAAGTTCAGAAAGCTCCTCTTCTTTTCCAAGCAAAGGCTCCACAAGGGGGACATACACCGCCAGCTGACAGAGTTCCGGACCGCTAAAAAACAGCTCAGGCCAAATAGCGCGACCGTACGTGGCCCAATAAGACGTAATTTCAACCCGCGAGGCATCTGGTCGTGTAAGAAGTGAAGCAGGGGGCTTTCCGCCACGTCTTCGCACCGCCCGCAGGAGCTCGTATTCGCATAGCCAAGGCCACCGCTTTTCAGCAAGCTTTGTCACAAACGGATGACACATTTCCCACACTGCCGCCACTGTCTGCGGTGACGCAAACCCATGAAAAACTGCCGACGTTAGCCGTTCAATGAACGCGGCTGCACTCTCCGTCCCTACAGGGGGCAGTGTTCTTCGCCAGACACGTTCATGCGGCAAGAGGAGTATGTGCAAAAGTTTGCTTTCCCTGCAGTATTCAACCAACTGAGTATCCAGCGCCAATGCGCCGTCTCCTGTGTCCCGCACCAGTGCCAAAACCTCCATTCGGTAGTGCTGGAGCAAAAGTTTCAGCTCAAAGGGTCGGAATCGCCCCGAGAATGCTTCCTGAGAGAGTGTTTCCAGTCCTCGTGAGGTGGCAAGGACAATTCGGGGGGCAAGATGACAGAGCTGATGGAACTCATCCACACTTAGGGGTGGACGCTCCACCGGGATCCAGCACGTTGGGCGAGGATGATTACTCAAAGCCATTCTTTGACGCCTTTCCATCCCGGCAAACGGCAGCACGATCGCACCATCGGTGTCCTCTTCTTCCCATGAGCGGCCTGAAATGGTGATGGCAAGAATAAGATCAATGACTTGCTTCTCGTTCAGCGACTGACTAAGCCGCTTGAGGTTTTCGGCACAAACGTCACGCTCCACCGCCGTCAACTGTGACCCCAAAACGGAACCCAATAGAACTTCATACTGCAATGGCGTCGGCACACCACCCATTTCTTCCACGAAAAACAACAATAACTTGCTGCACATGATGGCACCACCATGACGCCGCACGGAGCGTAGCACATCCGTTATCCCCTTATCAATAAAAGCAATCACATTCGAAAACTCCTTTTGTACTGTCTTCAAAATTTGCAGGGCAAGTTCCCAGTGACCAAAACTTGCAACACTTGAAAGTAAAGCATTAACAACACCGCTGCTCAAGGAACCACCGGACCCACGTGACCAGTGTCTTCCTCCCGCCACAACACCATTGAACACCACAAGAGCAGCTTTCCATGCATGGAGCTGTGTCAGTGCGAATAAAGCTTCCTCCGCCTGTCGACCAAGTACGAGACTAGAATTATCATCACTGGTGTTTTTGTCATCATTTGACGTGGCTTCCAAAATGACACGATGTGCCATTCGCATACGGCAATCCTTTTCTTCCTTCAAAAGAACTGCTATTCGAAAGAGTGTCATCTCGTCGGTTGCCTCACAGTCTTGCATCGCCTCAAGAGCACGGCTCCAGTGGCCCATCCGTATAAAAGCCTCTGCGCACCGCCTAAAAAATATGTCTCTCTCCTCTTTTGATGGTCTCCAAAACCCAGACTTTTCGTCACCAACACGTTCCACTTCTTCTGTTGTACTCAACACGCCCTGTTGCCGCACGGCTTCGTAAAGAAGATGCGCAGTAGAACACTCAGCCGGTCGATCAAGCCCTCCTGCCACAATGCGCAAGACAGCCCAAGGAACGGGAAGCTCTTTCGCCATCATGTGTTGCGCCAGCTTTGTTGATATGCTGAGTGCACACTCACGAAGGGCGTCGCTGTCGCTTCCCCAGAAAGCCGTCAATGGCTCGTTGAATAAATTCACTTCCTCAAATGACTTCACACATGGTATGAGCATTCCCATGACAGCTTCTAGATCGACTACTTGTGAGGACTTCGCTCCCTTAAGAAGAAGAGATGAGAACATTTGTTTCACATGAGGGACCTCGTCAAAACCTCGAGCTATGGCGTTTTCAAGCTCTGCTTCCCTTGTTGAAGACAAACTCCGAAGAATCCAAAAGGCACCCGAATGGTTTCCACTCACACTTAGTGCAAGAACTGCATAACCGTCAAGCACCACTCTGTAGGGCGCATGTGCCTCTCGGTACTTCTGCAGTACACGTCCATAAGAAAGTGGAGAGAGACGAATGTAGTAGAACATCTGTAAAAAACGAAGCAGAAGAGGGTCCGATGCGGTAGGCTTGTGCGACGAAAGTACCAAACAACAATCGTCGTAGCGTTGATGTTCAAGCAGTAATTTGGCTGTACACTTCAGAGCATGGGGTGAAATACATGGGTGTGCATCCTCATCTGTATTTCCCTCACCTCCTCTTCTGGCGAGAATCGTTCGATCATAAGGAATCTGGCGAACAGCGTTCCACGCCTGCAAGGCCTTCATCCAATCACCACTTTCGGAGGCCTCGTAAATTGTCTCCTCCGTGTGGCGCAGAAAACAATAGCGTTTTAGCAATGCTTCCGCTGCGGTGGGTAACGGAACGTGACAAAACAACATATGCAACGCGCGACGCCATTGACCAAGGGCCGCGCAGAGTGGAATAGCCAAGCTGCGTAGCGCAAATGTGTCGTCTGGTAAATAACTTTGGGCATACCGCAACGCTGGTACCCACAAACCCATTGAGATAAATAAATGCTCCAACTGGGGGCCAGCGCGCTCTTGGGCACTTGGAAGCATTGTACCGTAAATTGCAATAGCGGCCTGCCAGTTGGAGCGTTCCACAAGTTCTGCAAATACCACAGCGGGCCTCTCGGTGAAGGACAACGCGTCCTCCCAGCAGCCACGCGTACAAGTGGAATGCACAAAAGAGTGAAGAGCGGCTGGTTCCAGCGCCCTACCCTCATGCATGCGCCTGTTGTTAATAAAGGCAATCACAGCGTCCCTTGCACGTGCCACTTCCTTCGCCTTCTCCTGTGCGTCGGCGCCCTGCTCCTCGATGCGCATATACGCCAAAAATAGACTCGCTGCGGAAAGAACGTTATCCATTGGGACGGCAATGAGGGTCCTAGAAACAGCTTCCCAAAGAGCTTCCCAGTAACGCAAACGACGTGCCACATTGCCTAGAACTGTCATAGGTAACAACAAGGCTGGAGGTCTTGGTGTAAGCTCCAATAGCGCCGGAAATGCGCAAAACAAATCCAACGCCCTCTCCCACTGTCGGTCCTTCATCATAGCCAAAACCTCTTTCGCTTCGCCCATCGTGAGGTCCTCTGGCATTGGGCCACCATTGGCAACACGCAACAACACTCGACGTCTTCCCTCTTTGGCATTTATTTCAGGCGACTTCGCATGGTGCGTTACTTCCTCACGAAGATCATGAGCGCGTTGCTTGACCTCCGGTGCATCTCGGCAAGTGAGTACGGATGCAACTGCAAGCGCTCGCCACCACGGCGAGGTGGGAGAAAAACAGCGAATAAAGCTCTCTGTAATGGCCGCACTCGGTATGTTGCCCAAGGCAAGAAGAGAAGACATAATCTTTAATCCCGCCACCCAGTGGTGACCGGCCGCCGCCGCGAGCATCGTCGGCTGCGCGAGAAACGGCGCATGCTGAATCAGACGCTCATGTGAACACACAAGAAGTGCACCATGCCAGTCACCAGAATCCAGCAACAGACGACTGCACTGCATGTAGTGACGGGCATCCAGAATCACTCGGCGGCGCCGGGCTGAAAGGATAAGCGCGAGAAGTTTCTCCGGTAGAACTCCATCGTTCCTTGCAAGTATTGCATCCGCTGCCGTGTGGTACACAGCGCGGGCAGAGAGAGGACTGGTCTGCAATCGGTCCAACACCTGCACTGTCACTTCCCATGTGCTGCGCGTCGCGACGGCTGCAACGACTTCAGCGTACGTCCGTGAAGTCGGGACACACGGAAGCTTCAGTGCTCCCGCAAAGAGCATTACGGCACGTGCCCAGTTGCCGCCTCTCAGAGTTGCCACAACTAATTCCTCCACCTCCCGCGCGGAGGGCAACATTGAGTTTTGGCCGGTGACTTCTGTACCTCCACGTCCTCCCTTCTTTTGTCTAAAAAAACAACAAAAAAAAAATAGAGAGAGAACGAAAAGAAAAAAAAAAAGGGAAGCTATTGAGGAAACACTGCTACCGTGAAAGTAGATTTTCGCGAAAGGCATGCATCGCCGTGTGTGCGTTTCCTCCCACTCCATGATCGCCGCTTCTCTTCCTTTTTCCTCTGCACAAACAAAAAAGACTAAACCCACAACTTCTCAAAGGGATATCTCCTCATCTTCTTCCGAGGTATCGAAAGAGACCTCATTTTCTTCATTCGCCAACCCCTCCGAATCTGCAGTGGCCCGCAGTGCTTCTGAAAGTGTTCGGCGCTGCGCTGCTGCACCGTCCTGCAGCATTTTTCGTATCTCCTCACGCACGGCGTACATCTCCGCCACACGTGTCTCCATCTTTTTCACAGATTCATCAAAGAGTGCACGCTCCTTTTTGAGGGCGCTCAAAACAGGCTCTATTGATTCACGACGGAACAAAAGGAGATTTTCCACGAGCGCCTCGTAGTCTGACTCGCTCGGTGACCAAAGTGATGGATGAGGAGTCGTGGCCATCTTCTCGCACGCCGGTTTTTGTTGTTTTTGTGGATGTGGTTCAGCTACAGCGGGGCATTCCACAACAGGGACGGATGCACCCGAAGCCTCTTGGGTCATCTTCCGCAAAGCGCCAGTCTTCCTGCTGCTCTTGCTGTGCCGCTGAGCTCCGCCACCTGACCCTACCACCCCGCTCTTCCCAGAAGTGGAATGCCTCGCCACCGCAGCGTGGGGCGTCCATGACGTACGACTGATAGCGGCGCAGGTCCAGTGCGAGCGCAGACGGCGAAGCAAAACTTTTTCCGCCATACTTTCCCCACCGTCGTCACACCGGAGTGGATAAACAACCAGGTCAGCCTCAGCATCAATAATATTTGAGGGAAAGAGAGAGAGAGAAAAAAAAAAAGAAAAACAAAAAACAAGGGTGCATAAACACATACAAAAAAATCCCACGGGCAGAGAGCTCTGGCACATGTTTGAGTCTTCTCTCACAATTTTTATTTGTAAGCAGTAATGCAACGCCCCTCACTTTACTTTTTTGACTGTTATTCGAACAACAAGCAGAATAGGTACACATATGATCCTTACTGCTTTACAGTGTAGACAAAGAGGCGGTACATGTCGCTCTCGCCAAGAAGGGCGTGACGCACCTGATCTCCCCACGCGAACGCATCCCTCTTCGTGTAGTACAGCCGCAAGTAAGGCACCACCCACGTGATCTGCATAAATGCCCCGTATCCCTTTGCGTGTTTCAGAAGCTCATTGACTCCATACAACATTGCCCAGATGTCCTTTTCCATATTGGGACTGTTTTTATCGGCTTCGAGGGCATCCATCGTACCCTTGTCAATAACAACGTCAAAGGGACCCAACGAACAAAATTCCTCAAGGCGACGCACATCGCCCACCATCCACTTCATATTCGGCAGCACCTCCGGCGGATACTTTGCCCGCATATTCTCAATGACGTTGGATGCATAGTCCATTGCTACCTGCTCCAGCACGAATGGAAGCCGATGCGCCTGCACAACATTGTGGAGATCCATGCAGAGCGATGAGTTCCCAGTGCCCAAGTGAAGTACTCGTAACACCGGACTAGCATCATGGCATCCACCAGGACACAAGGCACGCTGCGCCTTGCGCTGTACAAAGACATTCAGAAGTTCCTCACATAGCGCCTGCACAGACGTCTGGTGGATGGACGGAAACCAGTTGTACTGTTCCTCCTTACTGTAGCGCTTCTCCCAGTAGCTTTGAAGGCTGTACTCCGCAACATCATCCGGTTCCATCGGTGCAGCTCCGCACAAAACGTCAGCTAAAAGGAAGACACAAAATAGAGAGAGAGAGAGAGGGAGAACCGCAAAAAAAAAAAAAATACATACGGTGAAAAACCGTCATGCACCACAAAGCACAACGAAAACAGGGAAAAAACAAAATAAAAAAGCGCGGTAGCAGAAAATCCACCACTCACGCAAAATTTTGACACCAAGAAGAAAAGAACAAAAACAAAAACACCGGGGAGGGGGAGGGGGAAGGAGCTTCTCTGCACACCGGAGGCAAAAGACCCACAGTGAACAACGGCATGAGAGCTGTTGTTGTCGCGGCATCGCTCGCAATCCAAAGAGAAAAGTTTGATATTACACGTTCCTCCGCGACAACAACAAAAATCTCAGGAAGCGTTTCACCACTTCCAGCCTCCGTGAAGGTGCGCCCGCAGACGCAAGTGGCAGACACACGAGGCACAAAAAAAAAATAATAATAATAAAAGCTCATGTGAGGAGAGTCATAAAACAATTTGGAAGGGTCAAATCGACCCCACTTTCGTGCAAAAGTCAAAAATATAAATAAAATAAATAAAATAAAACAAACTGACAAGAGCCCTTTTGCGAGTCACGTAAAGGAGCTCTTCTTTAGAAAAAAAAAAACGAATAAATAAACTCAATGACATTAGGACTGGAAAGCCCAAAGAAGCGTGAGACAGGGATTGAGGACAACTCCTTATCATACCCGACTTTCCCATTTTTTCTCCTCGTCGTTGCTTCATGAGCATACCCGTCCTCGCCGCAATGAATTCCTCGGAATGGGAGGTATTCTGCCCCACATATCCGTTTTTTCAAGTGACACAATATAGTTTCCAAGTGATTCTGAAAACCCCACCATCAGCGTGCCCTCTGTGTCTTCCTGTTGGTTGCCCTTGGAGGGCTGCAGGGGAGGTCCCACGACGTTCAGCAACACTCGGAGTACACAGATATGAATGTACTTCAACAACAGATTGTTGCCAACGTACGTCGCCCAGCGGCACCTTAGCCGGATGTGAAAACCAAGCTGCTGACACGGGCGCTCCAGATCACGAAGAGGCACCCTTCTGCCCTTGATCGGATGCAGCCACAGCTTCCTCAGAACAGGCCTCCATAGCACCAAGCTGCCAAGCTCATACTCTGCCACTGAAGATGTCTTGTCATCTTCTTCTTCGACAGGTTCTGTACCGATAAGCGCGGAAAACAACTCCATGAGAATGGTACGACAGTTATTTTCCAAGCTCCCTCTGCAATGATCGCGCACTAAACACCCCAGCAGCTCATCATTGTCATTCACAAGCTCAATATCCTCCGACAGAAAATAGCACCGCATTGCTCCAAGCCCTATCATCCACTCAATGTTAGGTCTTTTTATGTCCCGTTTCTGAGTAAAGCAGAAAACGACCGCTTTTTCCTTCAAATATTGTTCCCATGAGCCTTGATAAATACCGTCAACAACAGCCCTATACTCCACAGGAAATGCCCGCTGTATACGATCCTGAAGTCGTCTGGTGCACAAAGAGCCCGTGTAAGGCCGTTGTTCATCCCGCATTGTGGCGAGCAGCCCTTGCACTGCCACTGCGAGTCGATCAAACATGTCATCAATCACAGAGTTTTCTGAATCATTCCATGAAGAACTTTCAGAAAGAACTGTATCGGATTCGGCCACATGGTGCTGCATGATTTCTCTCCCTCTCCCTCCCTCTCTCTTTAACAGAGAATAGAACAGGAATGATGTCTGTGATGCATTTTTCGTTGTGTTTTAAGTGGACGAAAAAAAAAAGAAAAACAAAAAAGGGAGCACACATGTGCGGCGGTTGACGGTGCAGTGACGCAGCGGAGAAGAGACATCGCGGCTGTACGGGAAAACAGGCACCCCTCCTGCCATAAAAGAAGGGGGTGAAAAGAAAAATAACGTACAAATATTTCTCCCTCCCACATCGCTCGCACCCATCCGCGGCAACGTACCGACTTCCCCTTTAAAGTAAAGTAGAAAACAAGGGAAAAAAAAAAAAGAATTAAAGAAAAAAAGAGGGGTTGTACATTTCCATATCGTGCTAAACAAAAAAAAAAAAAGAAAGTTCGTACATTATAATCAACAAACCTTAAGGCGTATATCTACAGACAGACACACAGACAGCCCCCCTCCGTGATGGTCCATCTCGGTGCACTCCTTGACGGACATTAAGACATGAGCAGTTGAACGCAAGGCCCACCGATGGCCACTTCCGAGGCCCTCCCCCCACGCACCCACCAGATGACGCCACCGCGCCGTACACAAAGAGGGACAAAATGACGGAAAAACAAAACAACAACAAACAAACAAACAAACAACAACAACAACAAAAAAGCCTTTTTCTTCCGTACATCATTCATACAGTTTAAAACAATTATTAAAAAAAAAAAAAAACAACAGGAAAAAGGAAAGAAAGAAAGAAAAAAAAATCCACGCTGATAGCTTCTCTATACGCTTCACAGTTCTCCATACACTGACACAAACCTTCAGATATAAAGAACAACAATAAAAAAATTAACAGTAATATTCGCGAGGCAAAACAATCAAACAGGTATAAATAAAAACACACACAAAAAACGGAAAAAAACAAAAAACAAAAAAACAAGAAAAGACGTATATTCGGGTCCTTTTGTATGTCGCATACGCAAAATTTGAAATGGGAGCACTCGAGCAAGCAGAGAGAGAGGGAGAGAAAGAAAGAGAAGAGGAGCTCCCTTCAAGAGTGTGGAACACACAACGAAGGCAACTCAATCCTCACAAAACACAAAAAATTCACTCTCGCTCCTTTTCAATTCCATCCTCATGATGTGCACAGCGGCCCCAGACGCACCCTTTTTTTGCCTGCAGGCGCGGCAAAAAGGCATTAACCGCGGTTCAGCTGCAAGGGCAATCCAGGCACAAATACAAAAACAACAACAACACACACACACACACACACAGAGAAGGATAAAAAAACAACAAAAAACAACCATATATTCACTACATCCACATGGAACAATAAGAGGGGAAAAAGTGTATTTGGGCGCAATAAACAAAAAAAAAATACCTCAAATTCGTCCCCACGGCAATTGACACACCTATTCACAATATTATTTTAGCACGAGGAAGTTTTAGCAAACCTCAAAGAATCTCCCTGCTCCTTGCGGTAAACACCCGACGTCGAGGCTCGAAACACACCATTCCCCTGGTGCGTGCTCGCACGATTCCCACGCGGAACCGATTGAGATCTTCGTGCCTCCTCATCGCGCCTCTTCTGCTCACGGATCCTCATCATTTGTTCCTCCCACTTCATTCGCCTCGAATTGATGGCGGCATTCCTCGTAATCTCCTTTTGTATCATATTGTTCACGATCTTTCGCATTTTGTCCAGCTGCTTTTGAACGAGCTCTTGCTCCCGATTCTTCTCTTCCAGCTCCACACGCTGTTTGGCTTCGGCGAGTCGCTGCTCACGCTCTTCAATCCTCTCCAGCATGGCAAGCTCCTTTTCCGAGGGTGAACGATGCTCGGTAATGGCGCGGCTGTAGATCAGCATTGAGCCCATGGATGCAGAGCGGCTCTCAGGCTTATGCCAAAGTAACCTTCTGTGGCGGGAAGAAGAGGTCTTGGAGGGGCTGCGGCCCTGCCTCCAAAATAAGCTGCTACTGCGCGAGTTGCCTCCGTGATGATTTGACATACTTATTGAATGGCGTGGAAGGCTGTTGGCATCGCCCGCCTCTCTCCTTGCTTCTGCCGTGTTCTCTTGGAGGGTTTTCGGGTCCCTGACACCTCCGTCGAGCTCCTCCGCCTTCTTTTCTTCGGCCAACAACAGTGCGCGGGCTCGGCAGACGCGTTCAAGCCTGTCCTTTCGCCGTTTCTCAAAGACAGTATAGCGCAACTGCGCAATTTCTTCCGGTACGCCCTGGCCCATAAAGTCTGTCAAACTGCGCTGCAGCAAGTCAGCCGGAAGCACGTCCTCCATTTTGCAGGCCTGCAGGCTTCGGGGGCTGTTCAGCACACCCTTGACGCTCGGCACGTGCTCAAAGTTTTCCAGCGATACAAGCACTGCGCGGTTATCCTCATTCCTCACGTTTTTGCTCAGTGAATGCGTGGGCATTGAAGCGGACGGCACTCTGGGAGGGCGACCATTGAAAGAACTGCGATGGTCAATGGCCTTTTTCCCCGGGGGTTCCGCCGCAAAGGGCCTCATGGGAGAAAAGCTGCTTCTGTGCGCTGGTGTTGTATGCGTGGCTCCGTAAACCGATTTAATGTGGCTGGCAGCGACACGCACTTCCGGTGAGCGCGGCGACAACCCATTCACCGCTTCCCCATACTGTTCGCACGTGGTCATTTCACGGAAATCACAAAAAAATTCACGGATATAATTTAAACGCCTTTGAGAGTGAGCTTAAACCCTTAAAAACAAACAAACAACAACAACAACTACTACGAAAGCAATTATAAGCTGTAGAAAGTATGGGAATGTTGAAGGGGGTCTACAGTCATTTGTAATTCTCTACGCCGCTGGCGGAGAAGACAATCGGGTGATTTGCAATGACGCATCGGCTCAGAAAGCAAGCAAACAAACAAACAAGAAGCCGTATGAGCTGAGTTTTCACGGCCTTTCAAACCCAAAAGAGTCCCGTTGAGTCGTAAAACAAACGGACGCAAGCAAAGCTCTTGTGAATACTCCTACAACACATCGAAAAAAACAATAAATGTGTTCCCCCAAATTGGCACGAACAATTGGAGAATCCCCTCCTGGAATCCCCGTAAAAAAAAAATAATAATAATAACGCTGACAAATTTATACCCATCCCAATTCCTTGACTTAAGCTCATGTGTCACAAGTGGTGTGTTGATAAGGCTCCATGAGTCATTCCATCCCATTCACCAAAAAAACCTCATATGCCCCTTTAGCCACGGAACCTTTTCTCGCACTTAAAAGCGGTATCGAATGTGCAGCCACACCGTCCGTGACAATCCCCAAAATGTCAAGGCAAGCATCGTAATAAAAATATCACAGACACAAACGCGTCCACATCCATAATCCTTCGGGCCCCGCAACAGCCCGATCGGCATGTTGATCGTAGAACCCACCAAAAGGAAAGCAATTTAAAATTTTTATGGCCAAAACTGTCGTCACCAACGTAAAGTTGAATTCCTTTCGCCACATCCTTCGGGGTACAGAGTGCGGACCGACCATTGCAACGGGTGCGACTTGTTAATTGAGGGAATGTCTGTTGGGGGAAAAATAAAGGGGACAAAAAACTCAACTTGTGGGGGCGTGAGGAATAACAGGTAGAGAAAAGTGGTGGGCACCGGTGCCATTAAAAGATGCGGTAAAAATACGCATGCGCCTTTCAACCGTACCGCGCTTTGTATACAACTCGTAATTGTTCATGAAAATCGCCTGAGGCCACTACCAAAGCTGTGAGGTGAGGCAAACAAGACACAATGGCACCTGTCCGGGCCCTCGGCAATGGCCTCGTGGACCTGCAAGATATTGCCGTTGATCACAAGTTCTGCGGCCTCCCACGCAAAAGCCAAAGCGGAAGCGGATCCGTAGTTTCAACGTCAGAGCACCCGAGCTAAAATTCCGTCCTCAAGGAAAACCAACAGTGTGGGGAGCCCTGGACGCGTCCACAAATGTCAACACAAAATTCAAGACAAAAGTGCGGGCAGGCAACAAAATGGCCATGACAAAACCAAGATGAAAAACAGCACGTGGGAGGCCATTGTGGAAGAAAAACGACTTCCGTACGCCCGAGTCCCTCCCTCCCTTCTCATTCGTGTTGTGCCGCATCTGCCACCTGATGGAAGGTTGCGACGATAAAGACCGCACTAGGAGAGTCGTTCCGCCAACTGCAAACACACAGGGACCAATCAACAAATAGTGGGAACTTCCAAGTTTCGACGAAAAAAAAAAAAAAACAAAAAAAAAAACAAATTCGGTGGCGGTAAAAGTAATTTCCAGTCAAACATCACGCAAAACGATGCTCAACTGGGCATCAGAAACAGTGCAATTCACTTCAAATGTGCCCCAGGCGCCATCGCAACAAGAGGTGTTCATGGAGAAGAAAAGGTGACGGAGAAGCTAAAAACCGGCCGATGTCTGACATAATCCCACAGATCTCCATATGGGTGCAACAACCATTCCATCATAAGTCCCACAGTAGTGTTTTTTTTTTTTTTCAATCTTTTTCTGCCCTGCGAGTAGATGATAATCTTTTTGCCTTTTGTGAATGAGAGTAACAAATGAAAAAGAGAGAATTAAGGCATCGGGGTTTTTGTTTTGGTTTTCTAATTCCTCTCCCAAAACAAAATCCTTCATTTTGTGTTCTCTTCTTTTTTTTTTTTTTTTTTGTTGGTGTGTATTTCTCTTGGCGACAACTCAAGCTGAGTGATTCCCAAATACTTTTTAATTTCTTTCATACTTTTGTTACGCATGCACAAGGGATTTTTCTCATTTATCTCTTTTCCTTGTGGTGAGGGAACGGCCTTCACCCCCCCACCACCACCCCAAACACAGTCCTTTCTTATCCTCCTTCAATCAATTGCAATCGGTCCAACCATCGAGCTTTACCGTGAAACACGTGTACATGCCTCCCTACCGACCATGCCAGGAAGGTCAGTCGAAAGGGGGATTCAGTCATGGACAAACACAACCGCCACTAACCGTGAACTTCTTGTCGTTGAGTTTTTTGTTGTCTCTTCAGCTTGCAGGAACAAAAACAACAACAACAACAAAAATACCGCCGAGAAATCACGCGATACAAAGATGGTCAGGACAAACGGACGGCGTCAATAAACAGCGGAAGCGGGATGGGTAGAGAAACAACAACCCCACGCCTTTTAGATGCGAAATGGAGGAGGCTCTAACACTGAGCTACACAACCCACCTCCACTATCGCCAAGTCAACTTCCCCGATCGCATGTTCTTTTTATTCCCCCAACACTCGCATTCCAGAGAAAGCCCCACACTCCTTCTCAACAAAAACAACGAAAAGATGGTGGGACCGGAGTTGGCGGTTTATCAATTCGAGGCTCCGCGTTATTTCTGTTGGTTCACAGCGCCTACCCACACATAACACAAGGCGCATGCTATCATGTACTCACACAAAGAAGACACCAAGATCACACCAACCTGTTTCTTACAAGGTTTTTCTCTAAGCAGGCCGCACCACCACGATCATAATAATAATAATAGTAATAATAATAATAATAATAATAAAAGAGAACAAAAGGAAAAAATCCAGCGGCTGCGCCAAAATCAACATAAATATTTTGCATCTCAAAAGGAAAAATTCTCCGCCCCCATCGCCCACGGGAATTTTTTTTGAAGCGTTGCGGAAAATATTTTCCCTATGGGTACGTTGTATTCTTTTGCCCATGAACACACGATGCGGGGGTCGATGTAGTTGACCTTGCTGGTGCCTAGAGAGACAGCCTTATTGTCATCCTTAATGCGAATCATGTTCTCCTCACGATTTAGGCGCTCTTCGTAGCGCTGCAGAGCCAAATCCACATTATTTGGAAAGGAGCGCACAATTGGCGGACGCGGTGGCGGCCCAACAGGTGCCACTTCCTCCTCCTCCTCATTATTATTATTATTATTATCGACGCGTTCATCGACAAGACCCCTTGCCTTCGCAATCTCAAACAGAGTGAGTTCATCACCAGAACGCGTTTCGTCGCTGCCGGAACCTTCTGTAGACGAAGAAAAACTTTCACCATCCCCACTGCTTCCACTGCTGCTACTGTGACTGTCGCTGTCGCTGCCATCATCACTATCACTGTTGCTGCTGCTCTCGCTGTTGCTGCTTTCCGACATCGCTCGGCCCCGCCGTTCGCGATCCTCCACCCGGGACCTCTTGGAGGCGTCTGCAATTCCTGGGACCGCCAAGTCACCATCATCGCCGTCTCTTTTGAGCCTCGGTGCGGGTGGCCTCATTGGCACCACCGGTGCAAACGGTGGCTTGGGCAACACGTAAGGCATTTTTACCGGCACCTTTGTAGGAGGATAGGAAGCCGGCGGCGTTGGAGCCCCCGTAGCGAGTGGGACTTTCAGCGGCGTCACTTCAGTCATTTCACTTCTTTCTTTTTTCCTCATTATTCATCAATGATGGCCCCCAGCACACACAAAACGGAAAAAACAAGAAAAGACGTATATTCGGGTCCTTTTGTATGTTGCATACGCAAAGCTTGAAATGGGAGCACTCGAGCAAGCAGAGAGAGAGAGAGGGAGAGGGAGAGAAAGAAAGAGAAGAGGAGCTCCCTCCAAGAGTGTGGAACACACGACGAAGGCAACTCAATCCTCACAAAACACAAAAAATCCACTCTCGCTCCTTTTCAATTCCATCCTCACGATGTGCACGGCGGCCCCAGACACACCCTTTTTTTTGCCTGCAGGCGTGGCAAAAGGCATTAACCGCGGTTCAGCTGCAAGGGCAATCCAAGCACAAATACAAAAAAAAAAAAAACAACAACAACAACAACACACGCACACGCACAGAAGAATCAAAAAAACAACATATATTCACTACACCCACATGGAACAATAGGAGGGGAAAAAAAGTGTATTTGGGCGCAATAAACAACAAAAAAAAAAAACAACAACTCAAATTCGTCCCCACGGCAATTGACACACTTATTCACATTATTATTTCAGGAAAAAATTTTTGGAGCCCTCAAAGAATCTCCCTGCTCCTTGCGGTAACCACCCGACGTCGAGGCTCGAAACACACCATTCCCCTGGTGCATGCTCGCACGATTCCCATGCGGACTCGATTGAGATCTTCGTGCCTCTTCATCGCGCCTCTTCTGCTCACGGATCCTCATCATTTGTTCCTCCCACTTCATTCGCCTCGAATTGATGGCAGCATTCCTCGTAATCTCCTTTTGTATCATATTGTTCACGATCTTTCGCATTTTGTCCAGCTGCTTTTGAACGAGCTCTTGCTCCCGATTCTTCTCTTCCAGCTCCACACGCTGTTTGGCTTCGGCGAGTCGCTGCTCACGTTCTTCAATCCTCTCCAGCATGGCAATCTCCTTTTCCGAGGGTGAACGATGCTCGGTAATGGCGCGACTGTAGATCAGCATTGAGCCCATGGATGCAGAGCGGCTCTCAGGCTTATGCCAAAGTAACCTTCTGTGGCGGGAAGAATAGGTCTTGGAGGGGCTGCGGCCCTGCCTCCAAAATAAGCTGCTACTGCGCGAGTTGCCTCCGTGATGATTTGACATACTTATTGGATGGCGTGGAAGGCTGTTGGCATCGCCCGCCTCTCTCCTTGCTTCTGCCGTGTTCTCTTGGGGGGTTTTCGGGTCCCTGACACCTCCGTCGAGCTCCTCCGCCTTCTTTTCTTCGGCCAACAACAGTGCGCGGGCTCGGCAGACGCGTTCAAGCCTGTCCTTTCGCCGTTTCTCAAAGACAGTATAGCGCAACTGCGCAAGTTCTTCCGGTACGCCCTGGCCCATAAAGTCTGTCAAACTGCGCTGCAGCAAGTCAGCCGGAAGCACGTCCTCCATTTTGCAGGCCTGCAGGCTTCGGGGGCTGTTCAGCACACCCTTGACGCCCGGCACGTGCTCAAAGTTTTCCAGTGATACAAGCACTGCGCGGTTATCCTCGTTCCTCACGTTTTTGCTCAGTGAATGCGTGGGCATTGAAGCGGACGGCACTCTGGGAGGGCGACCATTGAAAGAACTGCGATGGTCAATGGCCGTTTTCCCCGGGGGTTCCGCCGCCAAGGGCCTCATGGGAGAAAAGCTGTTTCTGTGCGCTGGTGTTGTATGCGTGGCTCCGTAAACCGATTTAATGTGGTTGGCAGGGACATGCACTTCCGGTGAGCGCGGCGACAACCCGTTCACCGCTTCCCCATACTGTTCGCACGTGGTCATTTCACGGAAATCGCTACATGGAGATTAGCGTGCAAGAGGAGGGGAAAATGAGAGAAAAAAAAAGACTTCGGGAAAACGGCATTATCAAAAACAAGCAAACAAACAAACAAACAAAAAACCACCTTGGTGTGCACGCGCCGCGAAATGGTTAGCACTACCCACAGTGAATCAGCTATGGGTTAGACCTATTTCCTTTGAGCTAAGGTGTTGTTGCCACTGTTTTCATTTTCTCGTCATCCTCTGCATCGCCTATGCAGCCAGCTTCCACTAGAGACTCGTAGTCAACAAGAAAAACATTGCTGTAACCCCAGCGTTGCAATGCGGTGGAACTGTTCACGCCTCTCTGAAGATTTGATGCTATGATGAAAAGTTCTGACGACTCTTTTTCCCTCGGAAGAATTGGACACGCTGCCCCAGAAAGCAAATCATGATGATGAAGCGCAACGGCGCACGGAACGGGATAGCGTTGTTGTTCCAGCGCATCGCGCACATCAATCATCACAAGACCCTCCGCACAGGAGAGCTTCTTTTTTAACATCGTCGCATCGTAAACAATCGGTGCACGGCCAAACGTACTAAGTGGAACATCTCCAGAAGTGATGTATGAGGGACCGTACCGCTTGTTGAGATTTGACACCCTCCATGCTGTCTTCGGGATCCATTGAGCCATTTCCTCTGATGGCTTTGCCTGCGCAGCAACAAGAAAACGCCAACAGGGGTAAAAACAACAACAACAAAAAAACAAAAAAACAAAACCACAAGTAATACGAACGCAAAGACAACAAAAGTAAATTGGAAGTCGTCTCTAGACATTTTTGTTTAAATGGGGATTTTTGAAGCAATGGGACAAGTGGTGTCTCAGTGTTCACCGGCCTGCCTGTATTCCCAATGTGTCTTCCAAAAAAGGGACTTCTGCAACGGCGTCATTCGTGGCTTTTTTTTTTCTTTTTTTCCCACACCAATTCAAAGTTTAGCGTCCACCTTCTTCACTTCTCTTCCTTTAATTCCCCCTCTTGCCTTGGGGAAGGGGGACCTTCTCCATCTGTAACGGCTGCTCTTCTATGGATAAATTGATGAGAGGGGCGTGTAAAAACAACAACAACAACAACAACAACAACAACAAAAAACGGCATGCCGCTTCTGTATAATTCTGGAGGGCAATGATCTTGAAAACGGTTGAGAGGTGTTTATTTCTTCAAAAAGATATTTGTTGTCCAAATAAAAGAAAGCTGCATCGTCCATGCTTCTCAACGCTCTTGGCTTCCAGCGAAAAGCATTAAAAATCATTTTTGTAAAGCCATTTTCCATAATAGAGAAAATCAGCGTCTTTTTTTTTTTTTTTTTTGCATTTGTAGATGATGAGACTTATTAGGTGGGCGGTTGGCGCTGGGGCAAAAAAGAAATTTTTTTGCATAAAATACCGTCCTTATGACGCGGCCTTTACAAAAGTTGCGGCGATGCAGAAAGGAGAATCACTCCGTTCCCACACCCATCGACTCCCCTCTTGAACAGACACCCCTGCTGCAGAACTGACGATGCGCCCTACCATTCCATTCCTCTAGTGGACCTGCGTCTCAATCTCTTCCTCCCTGGCATCAATGAGTGCCCTCTGTGCACGGCGAAATCGCTCTCTTATGAGCGATGCCTCTTTCTCCAAAAGGCTGATTTCACGATCTGTTATGTCTTTTTTACGAAGAATGTCGTACTGCAGCAGCATGGCCGAAAAAAACGTGGCAGCCACCGCCCCCACCAGAAACCCCGCAGCACGGGGGCCCATTTGTGTTCTCTAATCTGCACTCACTTGAGGTAAAAAGACGTAACGACGACACATACGCACACACAAAAATCACAAGGAAACAGTAAAGTCAAAACAACAACAACAAAAGAAAGACAGCACTATTAATGCAAATAGCGGTGGACAAGCGCTTGGTTGAAACATCATCCGTGTCCCCGGATCATTAAAAAAAAAAAAAAGGAAAAAAAAGGTGTGGCGCTGCGGAGGACACGAGGGAATAACCCCAATCCCTTCCCAAAGGAAAGAAAAATAAATAAATAAATAAATAAATCAAAAATAATGATAATAGTGACCACTCAAACGCTCACCACTCTCCATGTAGGAAACACACACCTTCTTACACCGTGGTACTAAATTGGGAAACAGAATTACCTCACGACTTTTTCCCAGAATACATTCCACCATAAACAGGGTTGTAGCATTTCAAGGTACGCCTCAAGTTTGATGTGGGATTGGTGGCACTGTTAAGAGTATCATTTCTTTCCCTTTCTCTGTCCCGCTCAGCATACATTTCCATCAAACGCAAGATAAAACCATCTGTCTGTTCTCCGTCTCGCAGAGGAGAAGCTATCACCTCCGCGGTTGTTGGTGCCTCCTCTTTTTTCATAATGAGTTCCGCAATTTCTTCACACTCCTCCTTAGAACACACATCAATACCTTTATGTGTGTAACGACCAATGTATTCAGGATTTAACTGCAATGCAAGAAAGACCAATTGTGCCGCAAACTCTGCTGCAGGACGACCCTCTTTTTCGTAGGTATCATAAAGCCGAAGAAAGGAAAAATAGTGTTCACATCGACTTGGTTGCTGATTTATTTTCTTTTCAGAGACCTCAGCAGACATCCTAGCCCCATTTGGAGAGAGGCACATGGATGAGGACCTTGATAGAAAACCTGATACTGCTCGATTGGACGCCGCGTTAAGGATAGCTCGCTTTGAAGCCTTGCGATCCAAGCTGGTAGCATGCATCGTTATCCTGCGAATAATATCAATGACCGGTACACTGCCGTCATTCCAACGTTCGTTTGATGAATCCAAATGAACCAAAAAATCTTGAATTTCACTCATAGACGGTGCCTCCGTGTTTCCTTCCATGTTATCATACAGGTCTTGGGGCACCAAAGCCCGAATGTTGGTGATCAGGGGTCTCAACCAAACTTTACAGTAGTCCACCGCCATTCCCAATCCATTTTCGTAAATTTGCTTACGAAGATTGGGGACAAGAGGGTCCATCCCTCGTTGTTCTTCTTCATATGCTTCGCGTAGCCACTCGGTAACCATGAGACCTGCCAAGTTGACAAACTGTGCATGTGGACGCAAAGCCAAAGCATTATCTGCCAGGATAACCACGGCTGCCAATAGAATTGGTATATCGTTTAGTTCCACCGCATCCGCCACCGCCACCTTTTCAAGGTCTCGAAGTAGAGAGCTACGTAAACGCGGTGCGGTACCCAATACGGTCTCAACCAAAATCTCTCTTAAAAACTGAGAAAAGGGTTGGGTGCCGCTGTTGGCAAAAAGGTCAATAAAACGATTTTCTTCCCTATTTAAAAGGTAAAGAAGCGCTGTAAGTCCGGCTGACTGTTGTGTGGTCATGTCCCCATACACCAGAACAAGGGGGTGATCAATACGGGCCAAAAAGGCATTTGACACACCTGGGTGAACAAATCCCAAAGAAAGCGTGGCCAGAAAAGCCAAAATTACTTCGTTTTCCGTGAATATCAATGTCGCTGGCTTTTCTCTTAGAATAAGAAAAAGCATTTGCACAGAATCGGCTGCATGAAGGGCATTATGATAGGCATTTTCTTTGGAATAATTCTCAAACAAAGCCATGAGAAAGCTTAGGAGTTTCTCCACATCCATTTGGCAACTGAAGGAAAAGTTCGCAAACACACTAGTACATACTGAAAGAAAAATTCTCTGATGGTCCTCCATCACCTCCCCGTTAAAATCAATCACACCACGACTACTAAAATTGATGCTCTCCACCTCCTTTACATATTTAAGCGTCTGATGCATAACTTTGTTCATTCTTGCAAATGTTTCTGTAGGGTCTTGCAGAAGTGGTATTTCACGCTTCAGGTTCGTTTTAATGCCGGACCAGTTGGTTGGATTATTGTCCAGCAGATAAAGATTTTCCACCCTCCGATGACATGCATCATCGCCAAAAAGAAGACTGCGTGCAGGAGCATTACCTTTGAAGAGGGCCTCCCCAAAGCACCCATCGTCGTTTCTCCTACGCAATTTTTTGACACCTTCGTCGGAATGCCCACGAATTGCAATAGGGGAGAGTTGTGCCAGGACCGGTCGCTGCAGCCCTGTCTTTTCTTGAGACATCCCTCCCCCCGCTCCCCCACCCCTTTCCCCCAACAACAACAACAAAAGCCCTTTTGTGTCCCTCCTATCTATGCTTTTTTTTTTTTTTTCAATGCTAATTCAAAGAAGAAAATGACTACAACGGTAATCCCTCTCAAAGGAGTAAAACATCGCAACATTTCAGGCTTCCATAGAGACGCACACTGTCACAAGCATATATTGCACTTTTAAAGAAAACACGGAAGTTGACGAGAACTCACGGAACCCTCGGCGACACTCTACTTTTCCCCTAACCTAAAATCTTATTCTCCCTTTTTTCCTTGTCTTCATTTTTTTTTTTTTGTTGTTTGTTTGTTTGTTTGTTTGTTCTCTTCTTTATCCTTTTCTTCTTTACTTATTTTCATTTCCCTGTCGTTCTTAGCACCTTCTTCCATCCATCACATGGCCTAAGAGGCATTCTGCCTCATGATGACAATGAGGAACGGGAGTTGCTTCGACTGTAGGACCGTCGGCGGCGCCTACGTTCTCTAGAGCGATCACGACGCCGACCGTAACTTCGATCACGCCGTCTTTCGCTGTAGTGCCTTGAACGGCTTCCCGAACGGTACCGTTTGCGGCTACCAGACCGCCTGGTTTCTCTGCGCTCGCGTCGTCGGCTGGAACGTTCCTTTGGCAGCGTGGTCGTGGTGGAGGTTTCCACCACGAGGACTCTTCCGCGAAACTCCTTCCCATTGAATTTCTCCACAAACTCCATTGCTTGCGATGGGGTGATGGTAAGGAAAGCGAATCCCGGTGGCCGCCTGGCCAGCCACGAGTCCTCAATGGTTTTCTCCATTGGCTTCAGGAACTCCAGCAGTTCCTCTTTGGTCGCCCGTTTGTCGATATTACCGACGTACACACGCGTCATTACGCCGAAAATGACAAAAGGGACCCCACTAACCCGTCAAGCACGCAATAAGACACAAGCGGAGGAAAAAGTAACAAAGATAAGGCTCAAAACACAAGGGCAAGTAGTGATACCCGGCTGCAGTGCTCAGTCACGAAAACACAGCGCCACGGCTCAGAAGATGTTTCCTCCCAACAACCACAACAATATATATATATATATATAAACAATTGCCCGGCCTGAAAACGACAAAACATCCCCGCGTCCCTCGCCGCACGCACACACAACGGTGAGAGAACGCACAACACACAGAAGTAAAAAAAAAAAAAAAAGAAAAAAAAAGTACGATAACAGAAACCCAAATAAATGTTTCAATGATACAAAACCCAAAGTAATTACGTCTCACAGCAACCCTTAATGAAGGACTGTGAAAAAATCGGAAGGAAGCAGACCATCCCTCTTCCTTATCTATCAAATAAAAGCCATACAAAAACAAGAACAACAACGATAGTACCAAAAATGAAAGAGGGAGGGAAAAACAAAACAAAACACACAAAAAAAAGTAATAATAACAAAAGATATTACAACAACAACAAAAAAAAGATCAAAAAAGGTTCTGCACTGCCCCTTCCTGATTCCCGGTAGATACCAATTTTTCTTGTTTTGCCTTTATCAAACCGCCGGCTGTTCTTCTTGTTAGATTGTGGGAACAGATTTTTCTCTTTTTCCTTTGATGTCACTCACTCACTCCTCCTTTGCATGTTTCAAGGCACGCCACATAAATGAGCCGCTTATCTTCCCGACGGATTTGCCACGAAATACAATATCCGTTTCAAAGTCTGTGTGTGTGTCTTCCTTCCCAATCACACGTCCCTTCAGTGTTATAACACCCGTTCCTCGTCCCTGCTTCACTTCCCGCCTTTCTGAACCCTCAAGTATAACGAGGAGAATATGACGCGTCTCGAGGTACTCCTGCACCTGCGTGACGGAAGTGAGAACAGGAATTGTCTCCTTCTTCCAAATTGGGGTCGCTGTGTTTGTCTCACGAGACAAAATAGGCTCCGTATTGGGCGCAAAACGTGCACAGATACACAGTGTTGGTTTCCTTATAGCTCCACCAGTATAGTCTTTTACAGTAATATCGTCAAACACAAACTCCGGGACAGGCCTCTGAGACTTCATAAAACACGAAAGAACCGGACGAACGCAACGCACGATAAAAGTGGCTGACACCGGCCTGTGTTCTGATAACATCAGTTCAGGGTCAGACGAGTAACCAGTGCATTTTATCCATGAATCAAGCATACTCTTGTAAAGAACACGATCACAGTAGCTGGGAGAGCTCTTTAGCACGTACTCCGAAGAAGTAACATTAAGACGGTAGGTTGGGGCAAATTTGATGACCGGCTCCAAGAAACCATGCAGGATACCTGCGCTATTCTGTTGCTTAATCAGTTGATCATGTGCCAATAATTCTTCGTAATTTTTCGACTTGATAAACGTCTCTGCTTTGGAAACATCAACATCACAACGATAATTAAAGTCCCCAAAGAAAAATACATGATCAAACTGAGCAGTGACGTCTGCATCAAGAATTCCCAAACGAATGTTTCCTATAATTTCCTCCAGCATGGAGTTACGCATGGCAAAGTGCTCATTGCGTGCCGTTAAGTGACAGGTGCAAAAACACAAGGAGGTTTCCAAATACTGCATTGAGATGATTATACCACCTTTATTTCCACACGCTGATTTATGTACAGTCCCTCGTGTGGAACCTTCGATATTAGTGATCTTTAAAAGACTCCTTTTACTTGCCATAACAAGCAAAATAATATCCCAAATGAACATGCTGGCAATCGGAAGATAATCGTCACCGAGATAGTCTTGAACGTAATCCGTCCATTCATTGTCATGGGTACGAAAAGAGGCTTCTTGTAAGGCGATAGCGTAAATTTCATATTTCCCTCTTGGCATCCATCGTTGAAGGTCTTCTTTGCGTTTAGGAGGCCGATGGCCACCAATGTTAAACGTGCCACACCAAACAGATATTGGCTCTGTTAGGTGCCTTGTGGCATTGATGCGACATTCACCCACCAACTGTCGTTTCACTGGTTTAGAGGAAGCATCTGGACATATAACAGATAGCGCATTTGCACCAGTCCCATCAATGATGACACGTGACTTCACATCATTTTCACCAACAAGATCTGGGGCAAAGACACGAATGACAGACCGAATAGCACTTGCCGTCTCATAGAAGCGCTCACGCTCGTTGGCATTAACAAACTGCACATCGTACGAATGCGAGGCATCAAAAAACATCATTCTCAATCGTGTGTTGTCAAGAACATTTTTCTCCAGTTGAATCAACTTCTTCGCGGCGTGCTCCTTTCGAATGCGATTATTTTTCGCCAGATTATAGAAGCACTGAGTGAAGTGATCCACCACCCAAATGCGCTTTTGACTGGTGTTGATCAAATTGACGCTTGGCGTGTATTTCATGAGCGTAAAGTAACCTTTGAGATATTGTGGGTTTGCCACTTCCCGAAGTGGAAGAACAAATTCGTTAGCTGCGGCCATAGAGTCCTCCACCTCCTCCTGCTTCGCATTCCACCTTGAAGTCTCATCTTCTTTCCATCCGTCATCCTTGACAAGGTCCTCCAGGGCAGCTTTAACATCGTCAACCAACTCTCCCTTAACGGCATCTGTGTCTTCGTCACCCATTTCGCCGCCGTACTCTTCCTTGGCAAAAGCCTCCTCCAACGTGCGCTGACGTTTCTTCATTGCCTCTCGATGGCCATCTTCAGAATTCTCTGTGATCTCTTCTTCTTCCTCCTCCTTGTGCAATTCCCATGCCATCTCAAGATCATCTTCATTGGGATTCATTTTGGCATTTTCTTCCTCTTCCAAAGCCTTCAGGTATTCTTCTTCCTCTGCATCAGCTGCTTCGTCAAAGGGCACATACTCTTCACCGGCAGCTTCAAGTTCTTCAAACGCCTCCTGAGCCAAATGGGCAGCCTCTTCTTCCAAACGATCCATTTCTTCCTTTTGAAGGGCCTCAAGCGCCTCCTGCTCGGACCTCATCCTTTCTTCCTTCGTTGCCCCAATGTAGAACCTTGTCGCCTTCATCGCTTTCATAACATCTTGTCGAGTTATACCCTCAAATATGGAATGATATTTTTGATCAGCGCGGATGGCATCCTCAATCGCCTGAATCTCATCATCGCTGGGGTGCACACCATCATTTAGCTGTGCAAGAAGATCACCCAATTCTGAGAAGTGTATGCGACGAGCATCCTGAGATCGCTGCAAGAGCCATGCACGACGAACTTGCAACTGCTCATCACTTAACTGATGATCCAACCACCGCTTTCTTCTGGATTGTTCCTCGGCGGGCACAAGCTTATGCACCTCCATCCACTCTTCACATAACACAGGGTCAAAAGATCCTGCAGAGTTCCACTTGTTTCCACCCGTGGTGTAGTCTTGAATCATCTCGGCAGATTTCCATCCGTTGGCCCGGTACCAACGTTTTCTGCGTTCCAATTCCGTGAGGTCTGCTGGAGACTCCAATCCTATGCTGAGCAGTGCCTCTTTGAAATTACGTGCATTCCACAGTGAACCTTGTTCGCACTTATGAAAATCCGACAGCACAACGGGGTTTTGCCACCATTCATTCTCTCCCAGGCCATCAAAGTAAGACATCCGTCTCTGTGCTTCCTCTTCACTGACGTGCCACTCAGATGAAGTCACCGAACCATGCAGAAGTGCTCCCAAACTCGAAACGCGCAAAAGGGGGCTCAGCTGACCCCGGGCAAAGTAATCATCTCTGAGTATGCACTTCCACCAATTCCTTTCGTACCAAAAACATCTTAATATATCATCGTGGAATCCACACCATGTACTCTTCGCGTCTGTTCCGGGATCAAATTCCAATTTCCAAAGAGATGCTGGTTTATAATAGGCCATGCGAACACTAAGCTCGGTTTCAGAAACGGGTTTTCCTTTACCATTGGGTTCAGAAGATGTCCACAACGTTCCTTTAAGACCATTCAATTCATAATCATTGCGTGATTCAGTAGATTTCCAAAAATTCACCCTATAATATGACTCACGCTCCTTCATTTCTTCGTTACCACAAAGTTCATTCATGTTTTTAGGGAAAAAAGAGCCCGCAATCTTCCACCTATTACCCTTATGACCATTTTTTAGATAATCAGATATGCATTCTGGATCTTTCCAGTGTTCCAATGGTCTTTGAGTGTCATACTCACGTTGATATGCTTCGTTTTTCCACCACATATTATTTCCGGATTTCACGCCTGCCATAATTTGAGAATCCGTGATTTCGTCGGAGGTATCTGTTGGTGTTACCACAACCATGTAACGCTGACGATTCTCCACCAAGGACGAAGAGGCAGTCATGTCCTCAACAATTTGGGGCTGAAACAACGCCGCTTGAGGAGAGCGAGCTTTGATGTACATGCTGTTGTCAGCATCAATCATGTAATAAGCAATGGAATTAGGAGACTTCCACCAACACAATGCAAACTCTTCAAAACGTTTTTCACACTCAAGGCCAGCACAAGCGTAGTAGCACATGCGTTCCAGAATTTCATCCTCAGAAGCCTTTTCGCCAGCGCCATTAAAATCTTTTTTTGTCCACAGAGCACCCTCAAATCCATTTTGAATAAAATCCAATCGATATTTGGATGCTTTCCACCAATACCTACTAAAAAACGCTTCCCGAATTCGAATCTCATCGGGTCTTGTACGGAATCGCCAGGCAGATCCAGTACTTGCAGCGGCGGCATCCCCTGCCGACCAAATGGTCCCTTGGGCTCCATGCAAGAGAAAGTCCTCCAGGCAATAGTGGTGAACCCAAAACAACTCTCCCATGGCGGCAATCTTCTTTAATTCTCGGCTCAAAAGGGCTTGTGGCACTCGACTATCGCGATACGGATGTGTCTTGAAGTAGCTCATTCTTTTTTCTTTTTCTTCTTCGGAGACACCATACTGTTCATTCCTGTAAAGTCCCATGGATGCCACCGCAGCAGTGGCTGCTCCAACCAGACTACCTCTAGATCCGTTTATATAGTAATCGTTGCGAACCTCAGGTGCCTTCCACCAATTATCATATGCATAACGACAATCAGCCCAGTATTTTTCCGACAAACGAAGATAGTAAGAGATGCGCATAATCTGTTCCTTGTGACTGATAACATCCCCCATGCCACCATATTCACTCTTGTTCCACAACTTACCTTCCTTTCCATGAGTAAGAAAATCCTCTTTGTATGCTGAAATCCTCCAAAAGTTTCTCTGAAGAACTTCTTCTCGTCTTTTCAACTCCGCTGGTGTGGCCGCAAACTTGTCACCTAGAGAGCAACTAAACGCCGCTGCATTGGAGGCGCTCCACCTTTTTCCCCTCGAACCATTCATCCAGTAATCTTCTACGCTCTCAGGCGTGATCCAGAAAGGTTCAATTAAATAAATATAGTGGCATTTCTCCCCATCTTCCAGAGAGAGAGGATGAGTACGATAAAACTCTACACGTTTCTTTATTTCGTCTTCATCTGCCTTGTATTCAATTTTTGTTCCAAGTCTTTCCACGGCAGCATATGCATTGACTGCACTAACCATACATCCAGATTCTCCATTCGCATAGAAATCCGCCCGCACTTCGGAAGCTTTCCACCAATTGGTTTCCATCTCCTCAATCCATGAATCCTCGGGGTATCCACTGAGAACTTGTGCCCGAAAAAGCAGATGCTTTTCATCTACACGTTCTCCTTTACCTAGAGGTTGGCTCGAAGTCCATAATTTCCCCTTGATGCCGTTTTTGCGGAAGTCCTGAAGACATTCCAAACTCCTCCAAAAGTTGGCTACATAAAAATCCTTCCGATACTTTTGCTCTTCTTTTGAAGAAACATCTTTCTCCGCAAAACCACATTTGCCACTTGCCGAGTTACAAGCTTTCCACTTCGTTCCTTTTTCACCTTTTTCAAGAAAATCTGAAATAATGGCAGGTTCTTGCCACCAATCAGCTGAAGCAACAAATTCACCAGTGTATTCATAGTCAGCACTGTATTCAAGAAACCCATTGTCAAAAAATAGCATTCTGGTAGCTCTTTCAATTGGAGAAGAAAAGTTAATTCCTTCTAGGGCGCGAGCGTCATCGTAAGAAGCCGCTCTTATGTAAAGACTATCGCCTCCATGGAAAACATAATCCGTTAAGCCTGCCTGCGACTTCCACCAACTCCTTTGGTAGTACTTATCCCGCAAACACAATTCTTCAAAAGAAACACAAAGACCCGCCACAGGGGCAATCGCATCCGACTCAATCAAACGCTGGTAACCAAGAACAACTCGGGATAGAGATATTGGTTGGAAGTAGTTCTCTCTTTCTTTTAGTTCTACCGCAGAACATTTACCATTTCCCTCAGGTGTTAGCGCAGACCACTTTGTACCCCTGGCGCAAAAGTCGTTCCAATATTCTCGCTGTCGCCACCAATACTTTTCATAGAATCTTTCTCGTATTACCAATTCATCAGAAGAGGCCTTATCAACATTACCCTTTTCCAGGGTCGCTGCAAGAATGTTGGATGCAGTCCATTTTTTCCCGGTGTCTTTGTTCTTCCAATAATCTGATATAACGTCAGGATCCTTCCAGAATTCCCCAGGAAATGCATGATTTGCCAAGAGCCATTGACAAAAAAAAGAGGTGCTCTTCCACCAATCACTATCCTTCGCTGCGGATACCTGATTCGATTTCCAAAGTACGCCCTTTTCTCCAAAAGCAATATAATCTCTGACGTACTTGTTTTGCTTCCAGAAATTTTTTTCATAATATTCTTCGCGTTTCTTTAACGCCAATGAGGAGGCCTTATTTTTCCCATCCCCTCGCAAAGCTGCATTACGCCAGGCTGCTGTCCACAGAAAGCCCTTCTCTCCATAATCTGCCCAGTCCTGAATATATTTCTCTCCTTTCCACCATTCTGTTTCACGGCAAGCAAGATACCATTCCTCTCGAGAACGAAGAAGGACAGCATCGGCAATGGCTGTTGACCCGGCATCAATCGCTTTCCAAAGCTTGCCCGCAGACCTATTTTTCTCATAGTCTTGAATATATTTCTCCCCTTTCCACCAATAGTTCTTAAACCAATTTCTCCTCCTCTCGACTTCTTCTTCCGCGGCAAAATCTTCAATACCACGTACAGCCAATTCCTCATTTAACGTTTTCCAAAGCACCCCACCTTTTTCAAAATCCGCTCGGAAAAACGACTGTTTCCACCACTCCTGATCCATAGCTGCAGCAGCTGCAAACCGTAGTGCACAACACTCATCAGGATTGTTAAGAAGGGAATTAACATGGATTTCTGATTTCCACCAATCACCATTCTTGTAGTAATCATCACGTTCGAATTTCTCCTCCACTGTGCAGTGCTCTTTGCTACCCTCCACCAGGGCGCACCACGTCTTTACGACACCCTTGGGTCCATTTGCTTTGTACCACTGAACCCGACGATCCAACTCAATTTTAACCGCTTGGCGGCGATTTCCACGGCGATTATACCCAGACAATTCATCAGCAGCGTTCCACATAAGTCCATTTTCGCCATTTTCCAACCAATCCGTGATATAAAGCTCTTCTTTCCACCATTCATCATCACGAAATGCCAACCAATTGCGACGCTGAGTATCCGTTTTCCACCAGCACTGTATACGATACCACTCTTCACGCATTTGAATCTCAAATTCTGGTGCCCTTATAGATCCACCTTCAACAACACTAGTCCACCTCCCGCCCTTGAGGCCATGTTTTTCATAGTCCCAACGATATTCATCACGCTTCCACCATTCTTCGTCTTGAACACCGTTCGAATTGTCAAAGGTCGATTGCTTTGAAGTAAATCGATCAAAAACTCCCTCAATATCGGCCAAATCTTCTGGCTTCATGACCTCTAAATCGTCTTCATCCCTTTCCTCTTGCTTCCTTTTTAAGGCACGCAACCTAAATTCTTCACGGCGACGTTGCCGCTCAGCAGTATTCGCCGCCCGCTTTTTCTCGCGCTCTTCTTGTGACTTCTTCAAATTGGAGATTAACTCAATGTTTTTTTTTTCAATTTCTTTGAAGTAAGCTATGGGGTCTCTGCCCCCCTCCGTCAAAACTTTCCTTCGAGTTTTTTCTTTTACCTCCTCGGGATCAATGCCTTTCGCCTTTAAATGCTCTTTCTTCAGCCATACCAAAATTCTCTCAGGATCTTCCTCCAAAACCAACATATCATACACCTTGGCAAGCTGTCGTACTTTTATCTTAGCAAACATATCAAGCTCCTCGTCGGTTAAATTCCGTTGTATTTGCTGCAAAAGTCGTTGAATAGGCTCACCTAAGTCTGCCAGAGACCGACCAACCGAATCTACAGACATTTTTTTTCGGCAGTTTCGTTGCTATATATATTGAAGGTAATAACAACAGAAAATTGGTGGATATCAAAAAACCTAATTAAAGTGATTATTGTCAGAAAATTCGCAATTAAAACAAAAAATGCTATAGAAAGGGTTTGCTTTTTTTTTTTCTTAAAAAAGGTTATACTAAGGTTTTGTTGACTCAAGAAAAGTAAAAGCAAGGAAGTCGCTTCCTATTAACAACAACAAAAAAAAAAAAAGCGATAAGAAAAAAAATACTAAAACAAAAAACAACAAAAGAAAAGGAGAGAAGAAAGAATATTCAAATGACAAGTCAAATATAAAAAAAAAAATCCCCTTCAAAAAATTTATTCCACGCATATATATAAAGAGGTCGTCAACCGTAATTACTCAGCATGTTCTAATTAAAAGCATCAAACACAAATTATGCCTACAATTTTTAAAGCCTTAATTAAACATCCGAGGGGAATTGAAGCAAAAAGCACACACAAAAAAAATCCTCGAAAAAAAAAAATCTTTACCTCCAATAAAATATTTATTTTCTAAATAAAACAGAGTGAAAAATCCTTTGAAAAAAACCGACCGTTCTTCAGGCATCAATATCTTAGCAATATTAACGGTGATGGCTTTACAAATTCCACTGCTATTACTAATACTGCTAGTAAATAATAATAATAATAATAATAATAATAATAATAATAATAATAATAATAATAATAATAATAATAATAAATAAATAAATAAATAAATAAATAAATAAATAAATAAATAAATAAATAAATAAATAAATAAATAAATAATCGTAAACGTAATAAATAAATCAAAATAATTCTATCAGCCACACAATAAAACAAAATAAATCATAACAGCTCAATAATAATAATAAATAAATAAATAAAAAATAAACTTCTGGGCAGCTGGCCGGATCCTGAAATAACCCAAGGAAACCAAACAAGGTAGTAGAAGAAAGGATTTTCGCGGAGTTAGTTCATTGCCTCCATTTCTTCCTTTCATTCGGTATATAAATTCTATTGACCATTCGCATGGTCTTTTGTACTCAGAAAATAATTACTTACGAAATGGCGGACTTTGGGGTCCTCCAACCACAAGACCCCGCCGCGTGGTGGGAATCAAAAGGGGGTTAGGGTGGAATGGCAAAATAAAAACAAATCTTATCTGGCCTCTATCGGCTCCCCGCCCCTACAAAGTCGCGTTCTTCCCAAAAGATTCATACGGTAGAAAGTATCATAAAGAATGCATTCATTTATCAGGATGTACACATACATTAATTAAGTTAGCCAGCTCTCCCGCGATCATCCTTTTCACAAGCTCCTAATAAAATAAATAAATAAATAAGGCAGGAATTTTTGTTTCTTTTCTCCATCAAGCTTTTTTACCATTAGAATCAAAGAAACCCTTTAGGAATCTCCAAGATTATATCAAGCTCATATGGCACTCACTAGAGCCAATATTTAAAAAAGAAAATAAGTATTTATGTTCAATTGAAATAATACACAGAACAATATAATAAAAAACTAAAAGTCCATACTTTTTCATTCTTTTCGCCTTTCTCCATATTTAAATGCATAGATAAAATAAAAAATCAGAAAATAAAATCAAACAGAGTAAAAAAAACACGTTACAAAACAGAACTATCACCATGAAGTAAATCATTTTCCAAATACGCGTTAAGCTGTTTCTCCATATTCGAGAGTGGAAGCATACTTTCCCATCCAAATACAACCATTAACCAGCAACAGTTAGTCTGTTCTACAATGGATCCATAATAATTAATAATTAATAATACTAATAGTGATAGCAATATTAATAATAATGGTAAAAACAATAATAATAATAATAATAATAATAATAATAATAATAAACAACTTTTTTCCTTTGTAAATTCCCAAGTGAATTTAGTGGCCCGCACGCCGGCCACCATCGTAGCGCACGTCTGCCTCACGCCAAGTGGGGATATGAAAGGAAGCCCCGGGCCCCGGAGAGGGAGTTGCAGCGAAGGGCGCGAAACACAACCACGCCACAAAGCCGCACCGGGCAAGCGCGGTGGCACGTCAATCTGTTGCCGCCGAGAATAAGTAAAAGAACAAACCAATGAATGAGGACATGAGAGAGAGAGAAGGCACATACCAGGAGCATCTAAGCTCCGTCGCATTTGCGAAGGGCTTTGCGTTTCCTCGCCGCGCGGAGGCAATGTTGGGCGCAGAGCGCTTCCACCTTGAAAAGAAACTGCGCCAGCATCTTTGTGAAGTAAATCCTCTTCACTTCCCCGGTTCCTGCCCCATGCTTTTTTTTTTTTATTTGGCGCCTGCGGATCCGGGCAGCGGAGTATACGCAGGGTTTTCCCATCGCGACGTTGGCGTCGGCCGTTTTCCGCGACGCTCGGTCCCTGATTGTTCTGCGTTTGAATACTTCATCGTGGCGCCAGGGGCCCGCCACCGAGGGACGCGGGCGCGAATTTTCGGGACGCCGAAAGCCAACCATTCCGCAGCGCAGCGCTCCGGACCTCCGTCACTGCCGCGCCGGGATTTGGTTGTCGCCACGCTGCCAATGCATGGGTGTAAATACCGCAAATGCTAGCGGCATTCTTGTTGGGGCAAAGTGTCTGGCGAAGGGGCCGTGGTAGGAAATACATGCGGAAGCCGGCATCGCGCGTACCATGGTCAATTGCCAGGCCTGACGGAGAGGGGGACCACAGCCAGTCACCTCCACACCCCGGTCGTGTGGGCGGACCGGGGGACACACGATCCAGGTCTCCCAGGACAAAGCGAAGAGCCCAACTGGAGACCCTTGCCCTGGCAATACCGGCCGCCCCAGCGTGCTACCACGGCCAATTGGACCCGGTATTTTCGGGGAAGCCAAGAGCCAGCAATGTTTCCCTCATGGAGCTGTTTTTGGCACAGGGCTGGCGGCATCCACCAGCGTCCAAGCCAGCCGCGTGTTGCCGGGTCAAATTACAGCCCCATGCTGTCCGGGAGCACGCGTTGCCGTGCCAAGTGCGGTCCGTAGAATTTATCTGCTAAATGGCTGGGAAAAAAACATGTCGCGCACTGTTGCCTTGGGCATGAGGTCTGTTGTTGGGGTTTGGTGAGATGTTTCATTTTTTATTTTTGTTTGGTGAGTATACTGGTGGAGGAGAATACTGTTGTCAGAGAGGTTTCATTAGTGCAGAATTTGTGGAAAGGCGGGGTATACTTCTCACCACGTCAGCGTATTAGGAAGAAAAAGGCGAAGCAAAAGTTTGTATGCAACTTTGTCAACCGACGTGCAACGCCTTTAGGATTTTGGTTCTACCCTGGCTCAGCCGGCCGCCTCAACGTGGTGCCAGGGTCTAGTACTCTCTTACTAGAGAGGAAGATAAGTGCCTGCTGTTGATGCTTCAAACCCGATGAGTGGTTGTTACTTAGTTTTACGGACCGGAAGGGCAGATGTTGGAGCCATTCTATAATGGCTGCCCGCGGAGTAAGGATATCATTGCTACTGAATTCCTTCGTACGCTTACCAGAGCTGCACAATTGAGGTGTAGTTAATACGACTGGTAAGAGCAGAAAAAAAAGATACTTCCAGAATTTATTGCGGGTGGTGGCGTTATTTCCGGTGCCAGGCTTTATGGCGTTGGCAAAGAATTTATTTCACTGTTCGAAAAGAGGTCTGATGTAGTGTCATGCATTCTTGCCTCTGTGCGCCTGAGTGAGCAGCGGAATTGGATAATTGATATGGTGAGGAGCTGGAAGGAAGTGAATACCGCCCTACGGAAGCGCAAGCCCAATGGCAAGGTTGATCTGAGTACAAAGGGTATGCTTAATGGTCCTGCTCCCACTGAAGGGCTTGTTGGCTGTTTGGTAACGTAACCGGTACCGAGCGGAGGGACGAGTACCTCTGCGTGAACGCAGTTTTCCATGGGGCATTGACAGGCGCGGAGCGGGGTGTGACGTTCGAATTTGCTGGGGCAGGAGATGAGTGGCTTGTTGGCAAAATGTCGCATAGTCAGTTGTGTAAATTTGCGAACAACATTTCCACTCTTTTGGCGACAGCGATCAACCATGGTGTGTCAAAGGAGGGTAGCAGAGCTGTGCTCTTGCACCTGTTGTACACGAAGGACAGGAACTGCGAAGTAAAATTGACAGGTAGGAATCCGGCGTTGTCAGACGATGATGACGGTAATTTGGGAACATGAAACACAACGTAACAGGTGGCCGTAAGAATGGGTATAAGCGGCGAATGGTATGTGTACGTGTTGGTGGGAGGACTATTTACTAAGAGGTCTATTCTGGCTTTTTCCTCAATTCGAGTAGGAACTCACAGAATTCCACATTGGTGGGGAACAGCGGGATGACGGGAGAGAGCAGTCCTTTGACGGTGCACGTTTTTTTTTGTACATCCGCGAACTGGCGGAGAAAGACATCGAGAGACTCATAGCCAGCAACGTCACGCTTCCAATACCACCTGCTGCTGGCTAATCAACCACAGAGTTGGAGGGTCAGACGGTATCCGGCGGTGCTGTGAAGGCCACTTCCGAGCGGAACGTTTGAGGCAAATTTTTTTTAACGATATGTGGGTGGGTGCCTAAATGTGTATCCATCCGCGCTTACAAGGTCTGTTTCTCAGGCAGGAAGGCACAAGGGAAACTGTTTCTGGGAATACTTTCACCCAGGACACGGTAAATCCACCATCACTTTATGCACCCAAATTCCCAATAGATGCAGAGGAACAACTGCGAACCGACGAAGACGAATCAGCAGACAAAAAAGGAAAAATGCACAAACACTGCTTGCAACGGCACCGAAAAGCGATGAACTCATTGACGCTGGACTACCCTGTGGGGACCATATCTCTTCCACGACGAAAGATGAAAAGAAGGAAAAGGGAAGACGGTGACAAAAGAAGAGCCGACTGGTGATGGTGAATCGAGGTCGCCGCAGCAAGAGTCCACTGTGCGCCAACTGCGGCAAGGCAATCCGCTTACGGCTGAGAGTGAAGATGTGCCGTCCCAGGTACCTGAGACCAGCAGTGAAAAACACACGACTGACCTCAAAGAAGAGGACGCTGCTCGCGAGGCAACAGTGGGTTCAGGTACCAGTCCTGCTCCACACAATGGCGCCGAACGGAATTCCACGAAGGGCATCCCCAAGACTTCTTAGTCTGGTGCAGCTGAAATTCTTCTTGGAAACGATAAGGAGGGGCGCCACAGGGAGTTGACACTGCACCGACTAATAAAAGCACCACATTTGAAGCGGATGCGATTCGCTGAGCGCACAATGCAGCGCCGTCCTCTGGCAACTGCACCGTTAATTTCTGGAACATTACTGACTTGAGACTCCATGGAGGAAACGGTGACACCGCCGTGCATGGATGTGTCTCGCGTGTTACTGCTTTTCCTGCTGGGGTTGTGGGGCATGACAGCCGTCATTTGAATAAAAAGGGAGGGATGAATTTGCGAGGCCTCATGGGAAATGACAAATTTTTTTTTCCTGGAGCTATTCTTTGCACTTTGAGGAATCTTTTTTATTTTGTTGGGAGGGAAAGGTCTTTTTTTTTTTTAATCTCATTTTTAATTTTTTTTTCACTGGTGTTTTTATGGGATAATCGGCATTCCATTTTTTTTTTTTTTTTCGTTTACCCCAATACTCGTTTCCCATACAAATTGCCATGAGTGACGGGTTTCCCTGTTTGTTTCCCTTTCTGTTCTGCCTCCGCGCGATGGAGAGTTCACTGCCGTGCGTCCCACGGATGGCAAAGCTGACGCGTCGAAGACAAGGCCGAATGCCGCATTAAATTTGCTGGGCGCGTGGGGTCGTGCAGCAGGGCGACCTCTTTTTTTCATTGCGCAGGTAATACTCATGCGCACATACACACACAGTCTTATTATTCTTTTTGACACGCGAAATAAAATTTTCTGCTGGGGTAATTTTGTTTTATTCTTTTTTGTTTCTTTGGGGTACTGCTTGAATCTTTTTCCATTGGAGCTTATTCTACTGCAAAGCGCTGCGGCTCACTTTTTTTTTCTGCCGCTTCCGCTTCCACTTTGTGTCACCGTGTTCCGTTGATTGTTCCTCCGCCGGCTTTGCTGCTGACATGCGCCATTCCTTTTTATTTCCTGCTAGAGGCACCGATGTTCCGCGAGGGCGGCCACTTGTGTTCCTCTCTGCAATGACGCGAGAGTGGCTGGGTGCACTCGGAGGGGAGCGGATGGTTTGCGCATGGCTCTTTTTTGCTGTGCGACGTGGGTGGCGTTGCTTGTGAGTACAGTTGAGAGCTTTTTTGCGACTGCTGCTAGGCCACGCAGTCAATACAAGAGGCTCTGCGGCGTGCGTGCGTGCTGATGTGTGAGTGTCCGCTTGATGCCCAGCACTGTGCCGCTCGCCGGAGAGTTGCTGCTGATGCGCTGTTGTTGTAGTGGGCGCTGTGCGTGTGCGGCACCGACGCTTCAGCTGTGGGTAGCGCAGGGAGTCCTTTCGCTGTACCCGTTTTTGTGGACTGCGACACGTCCGCGATGATGTGCGTGAGTGGGGACGACCGCGCATGATGCAGAGAGTTGTGTGCGGTCCACACGGCGCATTGTAGCTGCAACAGCGAGTGGCTGTTCGTGGCGTGGGTGGTCTTTCTCACGTTTTGCCAGGCACCGGTACCTTGCGAGGAGGGATTGTGGGGGCCCGCTGTGTCACTCCTCTACGTTTTTTGGGAGTGATGTTGGTTAACGTGCAGGAAATTGGCTTTAAGAAGACGTGAGGAAAAACAACAATTGGTGTGGATCCTTTCTCCTGTGTCTGGCTGCTCGCCTTCCGCTGTCCCTTTCTGTGTATGCCGTGTGCGCGCAATATGCCTGGACGCTGTTCGTCGTGCAACGCCGACGTGCGTAAGCGAGAAACGGCCATTCTTTGGTGGCAGAAGATACGCTCTCTACGTCCTTTTGTGCCACCAGCATTTTCTTTTGCGCGCTCGTTGACTGCCGGTTGCAACGCCGCCACGTGGTACTGTCTCGGCTCTTGTGCGTCTTTCGCGGCATCGGGACTGCTCTGTGGTAGAACCATTTGGCTGCAAGAGCGGTGCCAATGGCCATTTTACTTTTAGCTGGGATCCTGCCACTCTGCATGGTGGTTGTGTGGGGCTGCGTTGGCGGTGGAAGGGCGATGGTGTCACTGGCGTGATGGCGTCTGCGCTCCTTTTTGTCGGTGGTTGTGATGTGGCGGTGACTGTCTGTGGCCGGATGCCGCTGCGTGCCACTGTGTTGCTGTTGCTTTTGCCTCCATTTCCTCTGACCGAGCAGTTAGAGATAAATTTGCTTGACCAGCACAACTATCGTTTCAAGGTGTTAGGGATTACTTGCGGTATTAGGAATAGTATTAGAGGGATAACGATCTGGCAGAATTGTGTCGCTGGATTTGCTATCTGTAGAAAGGGATTTGTTGGACAGGAGTTACGTTCGACGGGACGAGTGCGACACACCACGACAGCTTTGTTTGTACTTGTTTGGGTCGGTGGATGCGGTCTGCGGTGGATGCGTGTCCGCGCGGCCGGCACTGTGTGCGGCACAGGGCCATTGCGGCTATGCGTGCGGCGCTGCTTGTGGTGTTGGCGCTGGTTGCGGTGGCGGCGTTGATGCCTGCTGTGTATGCGGTGGTGCTGCGACTGCGGGGCGGTACGGTGGACAGAGCCATCACGGTTGGCCGCGCCGTGGACACGGTGCTGATGGACGGCGTGTACATCACGAACGGCGTGGCTGTTGTGTTCGGCGTTGCGGCGATGCTTCCCGGCGCGCTGCGCATTGAACTGAGGAACTGCGTGTGCGACGGCGGTGCGCAGATCTACGTGCGGGGCTACAGCGGCGAGCCGGCGAGTGACCGGAGCCTGGAGGTGAGCGTGAGCGGGCTGTCCGGGAGCTACTGCTCGCTTGTGTTTTTGCACAACCTGCCGGCACACACGAACGTGACGGTCCGTGACTCGACGATTGTGACACCGGGGCCGATGCGCTACTCGCAGCTGAGCGGGCTGACGGACGCGGTGGCGTCGCCGCTTGTGCTGCACGCGACGTCGCTGTTGCAGACGCAGCTGCGTGTGAGCAACACTGTGCTGAGGTCGTTGCACGCGGGCGGGTCTGCGGTGTACGTTGGCGGCGGCGTAGACCTGCTGTCGAGCGCGGTGGTGCTTGACGGCGTGTCGCTGGAGGCGTCGGGCGGTCCGACCGCGTCCGCGATGCGTGTGGCGTCCTCGTCGCGTCTCAGCCTGCGGAGCCACTCGGTGTTCTCCGTGACGAACGTCTCTGTTGTGAGCAGCGGCGGCGGCCTTGTGCTTGGCGAGCGCCTCGCGGTGTCCGACTCGGTGCTGCGCTTCGTGGGCGTCGAGGGGTCTGTCGCGTCCTCGCTGGTGCGCTGCGACGGTGGAACGATCGATGCCGGCGGGTGGCTGGACCTGCACGACGTGTGGGCGGTGGGCGAGGCGTCGTCTGTGGCATCGCTGTCGGGGGTGACGCTGAGCGGCGGCACCGTGTCGATTGCGCGCTGCGCTGCCACTGGCACGACGCTTGTCTCCGGGCCGGCGATCACGAGCGGCGTCGTGTCGGTGCAGTGCGACCGTGCCGGTGGCCGTGTGCTGCAGAGCAGCGGCGACTACCGCATGGCCGGCCTGTCCTCCGTGAGCGTGGTGCCGTGCGACGGCTGTGCGGCTGCGCTTGCGTGCTTCGATGGACTGACGGCGTCGTTCTCTGACTGCGTGTGCGGCTGCCGTGCCGGCGGCGTGGGCGAGGCGTGCCTGCCGTTCGAAGTGCCGCCTGCGAGGTCCGGCGGTGGTTCGCGGGGCTGCGTGAGTGGCGTGACGCTGACAGAGTCGGTGACGGTTGGCGGCGGGCGTGCGACGGCGTGCTTCGACTCGGTGTTGTTCGGCGGGTCGATCACTGTGACGGTGGACCTGCGTTCGATGGACGCGTTCGCTGACGCGCTGAACGTGACGCTGCGCCACTGCGTGCTTGCGGGCGGCGCGCAGCTGCGGATTGGCGGCCTCAGCGAGATCACGGCGCGCCTGATGCCGCACGCCCTCGTCAACATGACGAATGTGACGTCACTGGAGGGAACGGTCGTGCTGCATGGCGCGATGCCGCCGAACTCGAGTGTGCTGCTGGCGAACTCAACGCTGCGTGCGACGGTTGGCGGGTCGCGGTACGTGCCGACGACCCCTGGCTTTGCGGGATCCCGGTGTGGCCCCGCGCTTGTCCTGGACGGTGTCCGGCTTCTGTCGACGCGGTTTGTCATGACGCGGTCGATGCTGGTGTGTGGCGGGGGTTCGTGCGCTGCGATCCTATTGGAGCGTGGCCTCGACGTGAACCTGTCCAGCGTTTTCTACATGGACAACTGCGCCGTCAATTCGCAGATGCACGTGATGTACGGTCTTGCGTCGGGCCTGCGTGTCAGCGGCGGCTCTGTGTTCTCCATACAGAACAGCTCGTGGAGTGCGCCGAGCAACGACTTCTACAAAGGTGCGTGTGTGTTTGAGGACGTTGCGGTGATTGGTAGCAGCGTGCTGCAGATTGTGTCCGGCACGTTCCGTCTTGGCTTTGCCATGCTCATCACAAACGTGCTGACCGTGACTGGTGGCAGCTGGCTGGTGCACCGCGACAACGAGTTCCGCACCGCCTACGTTGTGTACGTGGCCGACGAGAATGGCGTTGCGTTCCGCGATCGGAGTGTGTGGTCAATACTTCAGAACGACTTTAAGCACGGCTCGTACTCGTCAAACACTGTACGCATGACAAGCAAGTGGTCACCACCATCCGACTCGCGTCCGACCATCTACGGTGTGTGCAACGAGGCGAGGGGCTCTCCTGTGACGGATTACGGAGAAGACCTCAATATTGGGACGCCCGTGACGGTGTTGGACTGTGGCGCGTGTGCCATTGACGCCGAGTGCTTTGCAGCGAGGACGAGCAGCATCAGCGGCTGTGAGTGCGTGTGCGCTGCTGGCGGATACGGTGACACGTGTCTGCCAGCTGCCGTTCCGGACGGCCTTGGGCCGCTCCCGCTCTCAGATGCGAAGGACACGGAGGTCCGCTGCGTGCACGGTGGCAGCATCAGCTTCGTGGACTATCCTGATTCCGGTGTGCGTGGTCTGTGCTTCGTCAACGTGACTTTTACCGCCGCGATCGTGCTGGAACTGTGGAGCTTTGACGCGCCACAACAGACACTCAACATCACGCTGCTGCAGTGCGTCCTCGTGGGCCTGTCGATCAAGGGGAGTGGTGCGCGTGTGCACGTGAACGTGACATCTTCGATGTTGGATTCTGGTGAGTTGGAGTTCAGGGGCTATTTTGGCACGAGCTCCCAGATACTGGTGGTGGGCAGTGCGATTGTGTCGACGTTGAGCTACGCTATTGCCTTTTTGGATTTTTTTCTAGGTGCGAACACGACGCTGCTGCTGCTTGACAACCGCATTGAGGGAAGTAGTTACGCATTCTATATATCCGACACTGTTGTTGATGGTGGCGGAATCATTGTGAAGGGAAACACGCTGTTATCAACGGCAAATGAGGACGAAGTGCCGACGGCCGTTTTTGTTGAAACTATTGATGTGATGAAGGGCGGCTACCTTGACGTTGAGAACAACACGATGAGCGCGGCTAATGGCATTTATTTTTTTTGGGATACAAATGTGGGCTCCGCGGGGCTGCTGAGAGTGGCGGACTGCACTCTTTTTGGCAGCGTGGGCTCTTTTTTTCCCACGCTGTTGTATTTGGACGGCTCTGTGACACTTCAGGGTGGTGCGCAGTGGCGTGTGGAGGGCAATGTCGTGAGCGCAGCCTCCCTAATAACTATGGAAGATGCCTTGCAAAAAATTCTATTGTCGGGCAGCGGCACCACCGTGGCGCTCGCACACAACCGTCAGGTGGACGGGAGCATTGTCTTTTGCAAACTTCTTGCATCGAGCATTGTCGTGAAACCGCCTGCGCGGTTTGTGGTTGGATGCAACCTGCAGGGCGGTGAGGAGGTGTCGTATGACGGTGTGTTTCCGGAGGGCGTGGTGGTGTTTAGTTGTGGCACGTGCAACGACGACGCGGCGTGCTACATGCCCGGGACGGAGTCGGTGGACCGCGGCTCGTGCTCGTGCAGCTGCAAGGACGGATGGCATGGCGTGTCGTGTCTTCCCTTCGAGGTGCCCGACACGGTTGTGCCGCCCGTGGCGGAGAGAGCCGTTGACGGCGACACGAGCTGCGTGGTGAACCAGACGCTGACGAACCTCGCGCTGAACATGTGGAAGACGCACCACTGCTACGTGGGCGTGACATTCAGCGGCGTGGGTGCTGTGCTGACGTTTTCGTTTGACAGTATGCCGCTGCATCTCCCCATCAAAATCACGCTCACTGGATGCACATTTCTTGAGGGTGCCGTGCTGCAGTTTGTTGGGGGTGCTGCGGCGGCCGAGTCAGTCGGCGTCCTGATCCGCGTGAGCCGGACGGTGATGCGGTCCTCCATTGTCACTTTTTCACTTGCCCTCCCGCAGCACTGCGACATTGCCGTCACGGAGGTTGACGTGGTGCAGTCTTCCGCGGTCCATTTGCCGGACACCGTGAACAACATGTGTAGCGTATTGTTGCTGCACGAAGTTGTGTTGACTGCTTCTTCGCTGCTGGTCAGCAACGTCAGGGCGCATGCCTTGAGGTACGGTGGTTTTGGTTTGTACTCGTTCGGTACGCTGACGCTGGTGGGTGGCAGCTCGCTGTACGCGCGGTACTGCAGCTTTGATGGGTACATGCACCTGTTGTACGTGCCAATCCTCCATGCGAGTGACCACTCCGTTTTTGCGCTG